ATTTTAATGTAATGTTGGTTTCAACTAAGTTAAAGGTAGAGTTCGATTCGACAATTTTGCCACCATACAGCGGCAATTTCCGAAACAAGTTCTGCATAAAATACTAAGAAAAAGCACAGTTCTTTAAAAAGTATAGAACGTATTGCAATTTTTTATAAGTTTGTAATCTGTAATGAGGAGATGTGAAGTTTATTAATTTCAAAACGGTCCACCGTTGCCATTGAAACAACAAAAAGTGAGAAATATTTAAAAAAAAAACTATTACAACCAAATATATGTATTCACTATACAAATCATTAAACCTTAATAGAAATATTCCGTAAGAGTGTATACATTTCCAAATAGCTGCTGTTACTATGGAAACTTTTATTTCGGGTGACATTCCCTTGCTTGCAATTATAATTATTCTCCTGTCTTTCATCTTGCACCTTCAAGTTTTCAAAGCATTTCTCAAAAACCATAAGTCAAAGAACAAACTTTATAAGTATACTAGGTGTACATAATTATTTTATTTGTGCATTGGAGTTTATAAATGAGGTACTTTAAGGATTGATGAATAGCCTTACACTATGTTAAAAAAAATATACACACCTCATAATATTCTAAAATGAGGTTCAAGAAAGGAAAGTGTTGCATTATTGTCGCTCATAAAAGATAAATAAATAAATCAGGTGGAAGTGTTTAGTGGACTAGCATGTAGGAGAGGCGAAACTAACTCTTTTTAGTAGAGGACATGTATAAGAATGGCAAATACGAATATCTATGGTTTATTGGGTTGAGATCGTATGTATTTTTATGTATTCTTTAAGTTGTGATATGAGAGAGCGGGGCATGACAACCCCCATAGACAAAATCTATGCTGCACTTAAAAGTCCAAGTAATGTCAATTTGGAATATGTGTGCTTAAGAATTGGGATATTGGTGGTCTTAAGATGGCAAAGGAAGGATATAACACGAAATTAATACGCACATATGAAAAAAAAACAACGCAAAGGAACCTCGTTCTCATTACTGTTCTTCATTTTAAAGTTACAAAAAGGCCTTTAAGATTTAGTCAAAACTCCCATCTCATTACTAATTCAAGACTGCATGCCCTTAGCAACGGTTTGAGCGTAAGTCTGTTAGATCTCTATCACACTATATCTAAGCATCGACGAACACCTCTAGTGGACATAATCAACAAATTAAGAATTAAATCTGGCACAAAAAAATAAGGAATTCTGTCGAAAACTACTCCACAATCACATTGTAAAATACAGAAACATACAAACAAGTAGACAACTACGGAGCACATCAATTTAATTTTAGATAACATGGCAGGAAATATATAAAATACAAATTCGTACAGTGTAGAAAAATATTAAAGATATTTGATGAGCTTTAGAAACTGAGAGAAAAGCGAGCCTTGTCGACCTTTGCTCCTGTTTCGTAGCGAGTTTATAGATATATGCATAGTACACATGCTTTGCAATTTAAAATAAATATACCTGTAAACTATATATATAGTCTAGATCTGGTATAGTTTGTTATGATAATAGTACGAGTAAGTCCGTACCTCGTGTCGTGCAGATTTAAATTGTTTTGTTTACTAGCGTTAGTCTGATCGATCTGTATTTGACACATCATTAATGTAATCAAAGTGCTGGATAGCACCTGTGGAAAGTTTGCAACAGTAGATGTGTATTATTTCAAATAGGTTGTAGATGTGTATTATTTCAAATATGTATTTAATCACAGCTTTGGTGTTTTTCCCTAAACCACTGTCTCATCAGCAACTATCAAAAATCACTTTTTTTATATGTTTCGTCATGTAAAATTTTGATAATTTCTATTGCAACCTTAAATTGTAGATTTAAAATAATCAAATATACAGAAAGCTCTGTTAAACTCTTTCTGTGTCCATCGCATGTAAAGGGCCTGTGATTAAGTATTTTTGATTGATTAAGGTCCTTCATATTTGTTTGTAGTAAATTGTATTATTACTAATTAAGCAGTTAGTTTTCTTGTTTGAATTGTTATATATTGAACAAACTCGGACTACGATTAGTAGATTGTGTGGTTAACGGTTTTCCCGACTTTTAAACTTTTTACTTAATACAAGAAATAATTGTAACAGGATGCTGTTACGAATTAAGTCTCCCAAACAAAGCTACCTTAATTAGTCATTCCCATGGTCGCCTGACATTGGGCAAAGTCCAGTACAAATTGGTTTGGACTAGTAAAGTGATATGCATAAGTGACGCCTAAGGTTTAACCCTGTATGTCATTCAAATCTTCTTGAAATCATGAACAGGAATATATATGGTTTAGGGGTGGGGTCTCGACAGTTTACAAGTTTTCAAAAAGAAGGGGGGGGGGGGGGGTGACCCCGTTAACTTCCCTTATATTTTATTTGATTTGTTTTATTGTCCCATACAAGAATGTATATGGTTTAGGGGTGGGGATCTCGACCGTTTACAAGTTCTCAAACAGGATGGGGTGGGTGACCCCCAGGGACTCCCCCTATACTAGTATTTCATTTGATTTGTTTAATTGTCCCAAACAAGAATATATATGGTTTCAAGGTGGGGATCTCGACCGTTTACAAGTTCTCAAACAGGAGGGGGTGGGGGGGGGGGGGGTGGGGGGGTAACCAAGAGGGACTCCCGCTATATTTCATTTGATTTGTTCTATTATCCCATACATGAATATATATGGTTTTGGGGTGGGGATCTCGACCGTTTACAAGTTCTCAAACAGGATGGGGTGGAGTGACCCCCAGGGACTCCCCCTATATTTCATTTAATTTGTTTTATTGTCCCATACATGAATATATATATGGTTTAGGGGTGGGGATCTCGACCGTTTACAAGTTCTCAAACAGGAGGGGGTGAGGTGACCCCCAAGGGACTCCCCCTATGTTTCATTTGATTTGTTTTATTGTCCCATACATGAATATATATGGTTTATGTGTGGGGATCTCGACTGTTTACAAGATAAAAGCACATTCTCAAATTGAAAGGTGGTTGACCCCAGGGACTCAATCTATATTTTAGTTGATTTGTTTTATTGTCCTAAGATCATTACTGAAGACCGCGTGTGTCTATCACTTACTGTTTTCAAGTTATAGTCATTTGAAAATTTAAAAAATAAAATTCCATAGTGTTCTTTAGTAAATCCCTCCCTTCTGTATGCCCCTCAAAATACCCCTAAATAGACCCCAAGAAGGAAAATAATAAGAACTGAGCAAAAACAAAAAGTCTCCAATATTTGTTTGGGAGACTTAATAACAAATAGTATATACGAATTTTGTTATAGTCCGATTTTGTAAGGCCGATAATGTAATAGGCAGAGTTTGTTATAGTCCGAGTCTTTTATGGGCCTAGATGAGATACCAGGTTACTTTCGATACACTCGGGCTTTTACGTCTTTAATAAACATTTGTAAAAATCGTAGTAAAAATAGCGTAGAAAAATGTTCATTCATGAAATATTTTAAACACGGTATTTATTTTCTCTTCAACCGGAGGACTGGAGGAAACCCCTGAAACCGGGATTATTGTACTCCCGTCGGGAGGTACACATATATGGATCTCACGCATGTCTGGGGAATACCGATAAAAGCATAACCGTAGAAACTGCTGTCTCGTGTAGATGTGTATTGATTTTAATTTCCGCGCAGCGCAGATCCGCGAAGTAATGTTTGTGATAGCCATTTTCAAAATGAAGTTGGATTCATTTGAATTATCGATGAACATTCAGTACATTTTAATTCAAGCTGTAAGCTAATCAAAATTTCAAAAGCATCTTCCTAGAATTAGTATTCAAACACTAGTACTACATTATCTAGGAGTAGAACACACATCCTATAGTAAGATAGTCTGTCCAACTTCCGGTTTGAGACCGATGCCTTAGGAAAGTATATTGCTATAGCAAGCTATAGCAAACTTTCCAACAATAGAAGATGTGGTAGGTTAAGTTAAGCTTGTAAAGGGATACCATGTTCATAACTTTTAATCTGGAAATAAAATACAAAAATGCATACTTCACGCCACATAACGGAAATGAAAATAAACTTTTTACTGCATATTTTTTAAGTACTAGTATATTGTTTCGTCAGATAAACTTTTCTGAGAGATGTGAACACAACATGCTCACTAATCAAGGATTCAAAATCTTTTTAATCTACATATCATAAAAAGAAATTTCATCCACAGCAAATGTATCGAGGTCAAAGAAAATTTTGTAGTCGGGAGCCGGAGGGTTGGAATGGTCTTTACATTCAGACATCTTTTCGAAATGGTTATCGTCAAAATAACTTATAGATTTTACTCTTATTCCTCGAATCGCACTTGCCAAAATTGACCAATCATGACGTGTGAAATTTTTGACATATGCATCGTAATGTTGCTATTATTTGTTTCCGAGTACTTTCAAACTGTACAGATTGATATATTTTGCTGCAGTTTTACAATCAATGGTTTTCACGTCTCATTCGTAAAAGATCTTAGCAGAGATTGATTACATGCTTATTGATATACCAACGAGCAAAATGTAATTTGTGCTTTATGTCATTCAATGAGTGAAATTATGATGAAAATGATATTTGTTGGCTTCTCAAAATGTCTGTAAAAAATTTAAAACCAGAGATAAGTAAATCATCAAATTGACTTTATCGAGTCTATTTCTCATATTGAAAACTTAATTGGCGGAAGATACCAAGTGAACATTCAAGTAAAAGAAATACTGACAAAATCATTGCAAAAAACGAAAAACGACGAAAAGACGAACTTATACACAAAACACTTCATAGAAAACATAAGATTGAACAACTTAACATGAGCAACACGACGGGTGTCACATGTGGAGCAGGATCTGAATAAACAAAATTATCATAACCTTCTCCCGGCTTATTCTGTGCACCTTACGATAAATATATCTTAATTAAATGGAGATAAAAATACCGAACCGTGCTATCCTCTACATATAAAAGAAACAAAATCGAAGAACATCTACAGCATATGCATTGGTGTGGCCTTTATCTTTATTGGTTATAATACAGTCATGTCATGCTTTGTAATAATGTGTTCAGGTTATATTATGTTGTTTGTTATTTACAATCAAAATTTGCATTGAAAAACACGATTTAAGAAAACTGTCGCTTCTTCACGAAACTTGATATCCATGAAAGCGTATATGAAAGGGTTCACGATATTATTAATAATAAACATATCATATATAAACATAAATCCAGGTCTTTCTGTGTTTGACACTTTTTCCCAAAAATCTATGTTTAAGCCTTCAACAAGAAGCAACATCACTTTCGGCAAATAACTAAATAAAAAAACCAAAGTTATAACAAAAAACATAATTGTCAGTTTGTGAGTTATTCGACGGTTATTTTTTTGTCTTCTTTTGGATCCAACAAGTTCAGATAGAGTTGTTTGGTGATTGTTTTCCAATCGCTGTTCTTTACTTGAATTTGATATTTTGGAATCTAGATCGGAAGTGATATTATTCTGCGTAACACCACTATTTTCGGTTTCAGAAGTTCCATCTTCATAAGTTTTTGTCATCGAATTTCTGAATTCTACTCTACTACTTTTACGTTTGTTCATCTTTAATTGACGAAAGATTGTAAATCCAATTAATGAGTATAAGACAATAAGGGTTGTTACTATAGCAACAGCAAGAAATCCTATCACAATGGCATATACGGCCCTTGCTAATCGGTGACCTTCTTTTTCTTTGCCACAACGTGTTCCCGTAATTCCATAAGTGTCGCTGTGAAATGGAACAGAACCGTAAACGAACGCTAACGGCAAGGCACATAAAAATGAAATAACAATTGTTAGTATCAACGCAGTTCTCTTAACATGGAGCGACATTGCTGGTTTCAGGGGCAGACACACTTTAAGATATCTCTGAACTGCAATTATGAGTAATAACAAAATTGGAATAAATGTTGTTAATCCAACAAAAAATTGTGTGGTTTTACACAAAATATTGTGTGTAAATGTAACTTGGTTAAGACATTGAATTATCATGTAAATCCCACAGTAGATCGTTGCTATCAAGTCAAATGCAGCTAAAATCGATATGAAATATCTTTCATCTGATTGTCCTTTCATTTGAAATGAATAAACCGACAAAACCAACACATTTCCGCATGTGCCAAGAACGACATAAATCGCAAGTACAACAATGTTTGGTATAAGAGTTTTTGATATCATGCCATTCAATTCAACAGCTGTAATGTTATACATTGAATAATATTTTCCCCTGATTAAATGAGAAAGGGACACTTCAATCTATTCCCAAAGTTATGCATTAAACGTCTATATATATTTTCGAGGAATTTGAATTTTTCAAAATTTAAGTTTAACAGCGATACTTTCCGGCTTAACAGATAAAAACATTTTTCCTCAATTAAATAGTTATTTAAAACAATTAACAAGGAAATTGGTACTAAACTTAAAATAAGTTCACAAGATATTCAATTTTATTTTTAGTTTAAAGTGATTGGGCCATGTCAAACGTTGCAATATTTACAAAAAATAAAATATATGTTCTTAGAAATAAATATATGTCCCTTAAAACAAAATAAATATTCAAAAAATCAAAATATGCTTTCATAAAATGAAATATATATGCATACAAAATACATATCTGTTCATAAAAAAATATTTGATTATGAAAACAAGTGTGGACACAGATCAGTGTTGATAGTATGTTTGGATGTCTGACTGTTTTCTGACAAAGAGAGTTTTCTATGGGGCTTTATGTTAATCACAGCGACAGCCATCTTGAATAACAGACCAGTACTAAACACTTAAAATTAGCAGTGCTGTTTATTCAATATTTGGTTTTAAATGTTCAAGACTATAATGGAGGAGACAATATTGGTTTGGATTACCAAATGATTCTGGTAGAATATGTTCCGCAACTTTGCTTTTGAATAGCAGCACTTATTAGTTGTCAAGAAATTGCAGATCTCTCCATTTACGCAAGGTATAACAAATTGAGGAAAACGAAAAGGAATCTCTACTTACTTGTACATAGAAAATAATAGTGCATTGACTTGACAGATCAACGATTTAAGGATGAGGCTTAGAAATTGGGAAATGCGAGGCTCTGCCGAGCTTTTTACCCGTTTCGGGACGAATCCTCATATCGTTGATATGTCAAGTCAATGCACTATTATTGTCTTTATACTGCAATCTAGAAAACATTTTCAAGTGTTGTTTAATGTGTTAATATTATTTATTTGATTAAAATATTGGGGTAAATCCCCCTTTAAAAAGGCCTCATCTCATATCAGGCAGAGAAATATACAACACAAAGAAATGTACATTACCTGTTGAAACACGCAATCGATGGTGAACGAATTCGTTTGAGTATGGACTAAAATATCAACAATAAGCATAAAACATAATGATTTATAGGTTTCAAACAAAAAATATTAACAAGTGAAAGATGTTTCGTAAGGAAAAATCAATAATGACCAAGTGAAAATGTGTTTACTATGATTCTAACTTGTGGGTAAAATTAACTTTATTTCGTTAATCAAGTAACAATGATGCATATGATTAAACATGTTGAATAAAAAAGTCTAAATTTTTGTGAACATTGAAGGGTCATACTTTCATGAAATAGAAGTTCCAAGTGGAAGAAATATTCTGTGATATTATTTCCACTGGAACAAATACTACAGTATTTATTCCTTACGGAATAAGGGATATAAAATATTTGTTCCAACAGGATATTATGGCATCGTTTTAACTAAGTCTCTATGGGAACTTCTGTAAGGCGAAACAAATATACCTTGACAAAACCTTATGTAACTTACAACAAGAGTAACTGTTAGCGTACCATACGCGTATGGTCGGACCTTATGAGTATATATGTCAAAATACTCGTATGGTCCGGAACAGCTATAATTGTTATTGTTGGGGTGGGGATATACATAAAAAATTGCATAATCATCCTTTACGATAGACAAACAGTGGCAGATCCAGAGGGGGCGTAGAGGGCGTACGGCCCCCCCCCTCCCTCCTTTGCTTGAACTTTTCTTTTTCTTTTTGTAAAATGATTAATCAGACTAGACTTCGTGAACTTTGCCATGTTTATGCGACAATTCTTTACTTATAAAGATATGTTTCGCTCGTATTTACTGTAATATATTATTGATTATGTCAAAATTATGTGATTCGCTACGGTGATGTTGACCAATGCGTCGAAAAAATGTCACTCAGTCATTTTGAAATTCAAATTACAGTAACACATTACTTAGGCTGAGGATGACAAGCTTGACACCTTCAAAGCGACAAAGGATTGAGCAAGAACGTATTTATTGACTTCTATTTCACAATTCCACCGAAAACTTTCATGAAAAAAAAGTTCCACAGCGATATTATTTACCTACGAAAACATGTTTAACCCAACACGCCCCAGCCTATTAATAAAGTAGCCGAATAATGATCCCCAGTCAATAAGCTCTAGATAGATTTAAAGTCTAAGGTATGGACCATTTGATTTGAGGGGGCAGTCTGAGATGTTTGAGAGAAAAAATTCTGACCCTGATTTTTGCCTAAACAAAAATTCTGGCCGTATCTGGATTGAAAACAATAATCTTGTCCACTTTTTTTGCTATTAGAAACAAAAATTTCCAACAGAATTATTTAGCATTAAATGAACATGATGAATAAAAAAAAGGGCGTAATTTTTTTGGGGCCGGGGGTTTGCATGTTAATCCCATATCTGACCGGAATGTCCGTTTCGTCGAACTGATAAAATGAATACTTTTTCAAGGCCCGACTACAACCTGCCTGCTGGGTCTCCATTTGTCGACCGTCATTCGTATATTCATTGTCATTTCAGACTCATTCGTAGCCTTTGGTTGATTTGGATCCCCTTACTTCCCTTGTTGGGTGAAACATTTCAACCAAACATTTGGATAAAAATTGCTTGTTTGTCTTTCTTAACTCGTGTCGGTCGTATTGTAAATTTCATTGAATAGCCCGGCGTATATCTTGTTTACAACAAGAAATCCGTGACGTTATGCTAACTAAACATACAACAAACGAGAATTTTCCATGTCAATTTTTTACTGACAAGTCCCACATCAAATATATTAGACCATAGCTTTGGATCCATCCAATCATTTTATAATAGACAATTAATGGGGAGAATACGGCATCAAAAATGTCCAACCCTTACACTTTAACTATAAAATATACATGCCTTACGTCAGGAACCGTTAAAAAAAGTGCATTTTACACTTATTTTATGTTTTTTTAGCCAAAAAAAGTCCAAAAAAATATTCGCCTTGATCCGCTCGGCGATCTTTACATACTTCGCCCCCCCCCCCCCCCTTTCCAAAATCCAGGACCCGCCCCTGACAAAACATAGCTGATCTTAAAGGTACACCATATACTTGCCACTATACATCATGTACTGTATCACAACCCTAGATAAAGCTGACGAGGAAAGGCATACTCGACTAACGAAAGCTATATTGTTATAAAGCCTAGTTGGCCGAGTGGTCTATGGCGCTAGACACAGTGCAGGTGATGTTGCCACGATGTCACAGAAGCAGAGAGTATTATACTGGCGAGAAATCGGAAGTTGACAATTGGAAATTTGAAATCATCACATTTGTCAAAGATTCTAGTTTGACCATTTGTGCCAATATCAAGGAAAAGAATACAATATGAAGCAGAACTTCTACTTTGGGTAGTATCCCTTATCTCAGGTTCAAACCAGTCTCTCAAGTGATTTCTCTCCAGCAGCCAGTTTTGACCAGACGGACAACCTTTTTGATAAACGCTTTAACGAAATAATCTTTGACTTTAATTATCTGCTGCAATAAAATTGTTGGTATTAGGTTTTAATTTCAAACATCACTGAAGAGACATTAATTGCCGAAATCCACATCTGGCGCAGTAAAATTGGCATCATCAACTCCGGAGTCAGTGCTTCGGTACTGACATGATTTATAACATAATTAATATTATTGCCACCACTTGGTAGATGCCTCGACTGGTGGACTGTCAGTACCAGAGGGTATAACCAGGCAAGAAGCCAGTATTGGCATGAACATGAGGTAATTTATTTTCACAATTTGCTTTACGTGTGGACTTTTTTGGTGTTATCAGCATTTCTGCGTTTGCATTCAATTTTGACTTTCAATTATTTTGTCTGTGAGCATCACTGGAAATATATTAACTGTCGAAATGTGCATATTGTACAGTAGAAATTGGTACTGTTTATGTTATTATTAATGACTTCTTGACTAAGGATTTGACAAACAAAGATAAATTTACAAGATTTTTCCAATGAACGCGAGACAACGATTCTATTGAAACATTTCAATCACCACTTAAAATGAATTATATATCAGTATCATACGTAGATACATGTAATATAGCTTCGTCATTCACATTTAATATACTTAATGTTTTTCGGGGAATTCAAGAGTTATTAGAGTAAATCTTACATGTTGATTGATACCTAACGGATGTTTATGAGGAGATTTGGACAGAGCTATATACAAATAAAGAATATGACTCGGAGGATTAAGATACCAGTTTTAATCTTTGATAGTTAATTTGAAGCATAAAACGATATAACAGCAGGTGAAAATGATCATAAGGAATAAAGTGTTTACTTGATTACTAGACCCGCCCTTGCAACCTGGTATAAAAAGGATTATTATAAATGAATACGTATTTCATATTCAAATAAAACTGAGAATGGAAATGGGGAATATGTCAAAGAGACAACAACCCTACCAAAGAGCAGACAACAGCCGAATGCCACCAATGGGTCTTCAATGCAGCGAGAAAATCCCGCACCCGGAGGTGGTCCTCAGCTGGCCCCTAAATAAAATTGTGTGCTAGTTCAATGAAAATGGACGTCACACTAAACTCCAAAACATATAAATGAACTAAAATTAAAAAACATGCTAGACTAAAAAAGGCCAGAGGCTCCTGACTTGGGACAGGCGCAAAAATGAACAATGTATATTTAGCACGCTGCAATAGATACTTGAAGACAGCACATTTAAAACAATATATGTTCAATTTACGTCGTTCATAAAATTAGGAAACAAAATCAATGAAAAGTAAAATAACAAAAATACCGAACTCCAAGGAAAATTCAAAGCGGAAAGTCCTTTTTCAAATGGCAAAATCAAAAGCTCCAACACATCAAACGAATGGAAAACAAATGTCATATTCCTGACTTGGTACTGACGTTTCCTTATGTAAAAAATGGCGCATTAAACCTGTTTTTATAGTTAGCTAAACCTCTCACTTGTACGACAGTTGCATATAATTTCATTATATTGATAACAATGTGTGAGCAAAACAAACAGACGTAATAGGTAAAACTGTCAAAGATAGGGGTACAGCAGTCAAAATTGTGTTATAATCCTAATCACTATAAAACGAAACAACTATGTCAACAAAGAAAAACAAAATGGCATAAAGAAACTATATAGACAAAGCACATAATCAAAAATGAAAGACAAGAGTACAAAAAAAAATGACCATAGCACAATAACACAATGGCAGGATGTATAAACACCGAGCCACGCCAAACGGATATTACCAAAATGGACTAAACAGTAAAGGTTAAAAATATACAAAGACAAATAAAAAGAGCACTATAACACGTATCTTAGATGATACTTATAGTGCTAAATTGATATTGTATCAGAAGACAGAAAAGAACCCATAGTATCATTCGAACATAGTTTAAGATTTTAATTAAATTCTTTAACGCTGGAGATGCTTTTTTGTAATTATCCATCATGAAAAGCAATCCGACCAAAACATTAAGATATACAGGGAAAGAAAATACACTGTAAAGACAAAATCATCCGAGATACCAGGCTTATAATTTGGTTCGACAGACGACAGACGACAGACGACAGACGCGCATTTTGTCTTCAAAAGACTCATCAGTGACACTCGAATAAAAAAGTTAGATCAAATAAGAAGGCGAAGAGCATAATCCAAACATTGGAAAATTATGCCAAATACTGCAATGGCAATATATGCCCGGGGTTAGATAAAAACCTAAGTGTTTCGAATAATTCAACAGTTTATAATTCAAAAGATTATTAATCGATTACAAAAGGATCCTTCAAGAAATCGATTATTAATGATTGTTTTGTCGGTTGTCGTTCCCATCCCTGGTATAAATAGCACATTTACAGACAAAGATCATATCAATGATATTTGATGTCATCACAAAATAAATCATACTCACTTCTGGGCTGGTGATAACCTTTGGGGCAAAATGTCAACCAGCAGTGGCATCAACCCAGTGTAAAAATTCTTCAATATGTGAGGAATATAATTTGGTTAATTCAGCATATATTGAAAAGACAAATGGTTTAAAGTCAACTTTGTTGGAGAAAGTGATACCTTAATTAGTTTTAATAATAATATAGTATTTTATTATTTACGGAGAATGAATTTATTACAGTGTATGTAAATAATAAGAGAGATAATCAGTGATGTACCTTAAATTTATTTCTTTTCCGTTAGCGCAAGCCTACACACATATAAAAACATGTTAAAAAAAAATTCACAATAATTTATGTTAATCTTTTTTACTAGATCGATTTTATACAACAAAAGTAAAGCCGACATTAATGTAATAAACGTAATTTAAATATTAAAATGTTCCACTCTGATACCTTGGGTCGATCGACCTTAAAGTGTAGTGGTTATGTTATCTTTTATATCGTAGAGTGAATGTTTTTCCTTTGATGAACCCGGACAGGAAGGCTTAATATTTACAGTTCAAATTAACACTGTATTTCCTTCTTCACACTTATGGCTCATAATATAAGATGTTATTAGTTTTAGATGCAAGGTTCATTTATTAATTTTCCAGTGGATTTAATACTTCTAGAACATACTAAATTTGGAAACGACTTAATTTTGTAAAATATGTCTTTACGTTAACCTCGTCCATGCTGTTTTACCAATGGGGATACTAAATAGCTGTCTTTCCTCTGAAAACAAAGATTACGAACATGTAGAGAGGGCTGTTACCAGCGAGAATAGGAACATACGTGCACCCTTACCTTACGAATTTGCAGAGACTGCATGCACAGAAAGCCACGTATCTGAATCTACGGAAAATATATTAAAGTTATTAGAACCAATCATTAACATTATCAAATCATCTTCTCGACCAAAAGTGACACCATTCAAATTTAGACATGGACGAAAAGGTGTAGTACGAATAGCTAGTTGGAATATAGAACGATTCGATGAAGAAAAAGCTGATAATCCAGGAGTAAAAGAAGTTGTATGTATGACAATTCTAGAAAATGGGTAAGTTTAATGAAAATAATCTTATGAAAAAAAAATATAAAACAATCATTTAATTATTGACACATAGCTATGAAATATAGCTAAAGTTAAACAGAAAAGATGGACCCGAAGTTAGGGAGTTACTTTTATTTTTGGCAAACTCTACCGATTTTAAAGAGATGCAGGTGAAAACGTGATAAACAAAATTGAATGAAAGAAATAAAGAACAACAGTTCTCAACACATAGGACGACGTGTTTGTGTTTCTTTACTTTACACGGACAGTCTAATTAATTAAATTATTTTACAGACCATAACAACTCTATTGCTGAAAGTGCTTTGCTGTGTAGCTTTTTCTTTCGTTTAATTGCTTATTTTAAGGGAGATCTTGGTAGCAAACGTAAGCCTTGAAATACCGTATCAAATGAGATAAATACGTCATATGCAGTAATTGCTGAAATGTTGCTACAAAAAATGGAAAGTTTACAACGAGGGAAAATTGAATTCATCGCTCTTGTCATAACGTTTAGTTATGGAGTAGACATCGCAGCCATTTTAGATACACACATGAGGGCGTTATCCCGACTGGGTCTGTACAATTTACACCAACATATCATGGTTGATGAAAAATGATAGATTTCAATAATTTAGGGGAGGACCTTTCATCAATCTGACCTTATGTTATGGAAGAACGTGATCTACATGCAGTATATCCAATTACATTTAATGACATCTTGGTCATATAGCGCTTTATGTTTCCTCGTATTTATACACCCCTGGCTTATAAATGTTTGAGTTTAAGCGTTACTGATGGAGGTAAATCCTAGAAAGAGCTTCGGACGCACGATAATTATATTTCTTTTGTTGTAAGTCTCGATATGAAGCAGGCATAACTATACCTTAAAGTTTGATACCCTTTATTTCTAGTTCAATCGAGTACATACAATTTCGTCAAACTTTGAATAATACAATGGAATAATATTATATATTCAGCAGAAAATGAAGTTTAAGGATAAGGCAAAAGAAAAAATAGTAGTTTACAATACTTAACCATAAACATACATATCTGTAATTACGACAATTAAAAGTTGCATGCCTTTTTGTTATATATGATAAGTTGAAAATGGGTTAAATCGAAACAATATGTTTATATGTAGTAAACTAAAGAAAACATATGAATAGTCGGTTCCTTTCTGAAGAACGACTTCACGAGATAAGATGGAGCTAAATATCCTGATCTTTGATTGACCAAGAAAGTAGAATTAGAATAAAAATAATTATATCCATTCCGTGAAATTTCAGATTTAGTTTAATAGCATTTCAAGAGCTGGCTGATAAAAAGGCCCTGGAAAAGGTATTTATCAATAAAATTTACCAAGTGAGCGTCTGTCATCTTTTTTTGTCTGTAGTTTACTTGTTTCATTTTCATGATTTTGTTTTCACACTGTAAATCACTAGGCTTATTTAACCTTCCCTTATTTCATTGTTATTGTGAAATGGTATGTCTGTCAGGGACAGTTCTATATGTTTTTCTCTACAAAAGGCCTGATGTTTCATCCATCAGAAAAAGCATTTTGAAAATGAAGTATTTTCAAGGAGTGCATTTCTTTCTAACCAAAATTTTGTAAACGTTGTGTCGCGTTTGTTATCGTTTGCTAAACGCTACAAAAGAAGAAACAAATGCATCGTTTAATCCGTGTTTTCTGACCCTGTATTGAACTTTCAATAATGCATGCACGTGTTGTTGGTAAACAGATGTATCCCCATAAGTGAAATCAAATTCGAACCATTCTAAAATATTACATGAAAGGGAAAATATAGGGGATACCTGATGAGAATAGGCCTAGGTCTACATGACCATAACCGAAACACCTCTTTGTAATTCTGGTAATAAAAACACATACCAGATATGAATTTCTATTCTTAAAATACACACATAAGTCTCATACTACAAGCATGCAAGTATGAATTATGAAAAATGTATTCCACAAGACAAAATATGTATCATTCACAGAGTTATACCAGCTCTAAATTACTCTAAATATATGCACATAGAAAATGGATGAACTACGAAGGATTATAATAAGATATACTGGATTGGTCCTGGACCCGATTTATTTTAATATATTAAAGGTTGAAGTTAGAAACAAATGTAGCGTTTGTACTAACAAACGACAAACGACAAACTGCAGACGCATTTTTAGCGAGTGCATAGTTTGTCAAAGTTTATGTAAACTTTGCAAACGTATGTTTGAAACAAATGATCAAAACATGTGCGCGCTTAGTCGTTTGCATCGTTTGTGTTAGAAAGAAATGCACTCATAATAATATATCTTTTATAAAAGCTTTTCAAAAAGATAATTAACATAATATAAAATAAATAGATGTGGTATGATTCCCATTGAGACAACTATCCACCATAGTTAATTAAAATGATGTGTATGTTAGCAATTATAGACGATAATTACACATGCAAATTTTATGTTTTCGATTATAGATTTGTGAAGAACTGAATAATCCATCTTTATCCTGCACAAGAAATTGGTCAGGACATCGTGGCGAGTGGCAGTATTCAGTATCAGATGCTACTGGGAGGATGTTTCGAGTATGTCACATCTCTTTTCTGTAGAAATAGCCATAACGATTTGTCCGTTTTTCATTCCTTGTCATAAAAAAAATGATTTCAGCTTTCCGCAATTCTGTAGGTTCACAATTATCACTTTCAGTTATCGTTTTTCTTCTTTTTTCTATGACATACATAACAGATTGAGACACATATGTGCTCAAGAGTGATCGTCCTGAAACTAGCACCATTTGGATTAGTATTATTATAAGTTAGCCAGTGCCGCTGATGGTGGCATCTCGTACGCCGAGGGTACTATCAGCTAACACTTTGGTCTAGGAATGAATAAATTGAAGAAGAAAAAATAATAATACAATCGCATCTTTCCAAGGTAAGGCAAGGCCCTAAAGGCATGATTGACATGATTTGAATAATTTCATAATAGTAAAATATTTTTGGTGGTTCTTTTCTGGTTTTTGTTCATATAAAAATTAATCATTGAATTGTTGTAGAGTATGGAGTACAATGGTTTTTTATATGACACAGCAAGGGGGATAACATTAAATCATTCAGCGTTGCTGGAAAAACCAAATAACTCACCTAAACCATTTACTAGGGCACCATTTATTGGAACTTTTAAGGTAAGTTTTATCTACAGAAAATTTCACAGCAACAAATACATAAGAAATCATTGAAATCAACTTCGTATAATTCAATAATCATTCACCATCTAATGGAAGAAATTAAGACAGATAAATTCCATCATAAACAAAATATTTAGAGAGGTCAAATAATACATCAAAAAGGTAACACGACTTATCATGTATATTGGACAGTACAACAGACCACACCAACCACCAATTCCGCCAACAAAAAAGATCTACAAACAAAAACAATTATACAACACAACAACATCCGATTCTACCTTGGTACAGGCACAAAACGTGGTGGGCCTCTTTGCTTGTATGAACCATATGTCTTAAAATGTAAAAAGAATACAGGAGGAAAATACCAAGGTGATGTTCCTTTTCATACGTCGAAGGTAAACTGACAACGCCATGGCGAATAACGAAAATCGTTCAATAGACAATAAGACACAACATGTAGAAGACCGAGCAATATGAACCCCACCGAAAACGGGGGGTGATATCAGGTTCTCCAGAAAGGCAAGTAGAACCTGCACCCACATGTGGCACCCGATGTGTTGCTCATGTATGTACAAATTCGTTCATAAGTCTAATTCGGTATAGTTACATTCGAGAAAAAAAGCACGAGGTTGTTACGACAATTTCAATAAATATGACGTAATTTGTATAACAAATATTCTATAACAATCACCCAATTCGTGATGGCGTCCGTAAAATTTTCGAAGGAATGTCTTCAATTTCTCCACTTGAAATCTTTGGTTTAATAGTTATTTGTTAGCAACCCTCTATCAAGGAAATCATGAATTATAATGCAAACTTTGGAATAACGTATCAACTGGGAGACGCATATTCCATATGCAGGCGCCTCTTGGATGTTGCTACATGGAAATGAAACAATTTAATTCTTTAATTCCATTGGCTATCCAAACTTTTCTTCAGTTCCACCTGAGCAATGTTGATTTCAATAGCTTACAATTGTTTGGGAAAGTTCTTGTAATGTAATAGAATTGCATGACAAAGGGCAAATAGCTAGAACTGAAAGATCATTGGTTTCTCGTTTAAAAATAAGTTTAGTATATATTTTCTTGTTACGTTTTATTTAGAGGTATGGGGTATTTTACATTATATTGTCTGAAATTTGGCAATTACATCAAGCTCGGTTTTAGTTTGTAACCCGGATTTATTTAATCTCAATTGATTTATGTCTTTTGGATAGCGGTATACTACTGTTGCCTTTATTTATCATCATTTTAGGATTGGAATATCATTACTATATATGATAACTTGCAATACCGAATTCATCATGCAATATTAACACTCAGCTTCAAGGGTAATTGACTAGAAGATATAGGATACCTAAATAAATCACTCATTAGTCATAATAGTTATAAAAAGAAAGCTAACATTGTACTTCACTATGCAAACTATACATTCTACAGTCAGTAGAAAATATGTCATCTCACCGTGTAATTCAAATATCGTTTGTTTTGTTGCATATATCGCGTTGAACTTGAAATAGAGAAAACGAAAGGTACAGTGAGATGTGTTTCATTCCCTGACTTAAAAACTGATATAAAAAATGAAGGTCGACTTAGGACTAAATACCACGAATGAGATGATTTAGAATTCTCATTGTAAATTTTCAATTTTTTGAAGCAACATTGACGCAACATCCGCATAAGTTATTCATATCTCCAATCTTTTAAGAATTAACAAAGATTGTTTTTAAATAGTTTGCTGCTGGAAACAATAATCGATCGAAGGCAGCTATCGAATCAAAGGTTCTTAATGGTAAAGTTAGAATCATTTCATCCTTAATTTTACTGACACTAACATAGTTTGCTTGACCGTTTTGGACTACTGTTATCTGTGTCACAGTCGAGTAGTTGAGATGAGTCTTATGTAGACGAAATGCTCTTCTGTCGTACCAAAATATAAACCTGGTATTTTTATGAGTTTTTACAGATAACCACAAATGTGTTCAATTTGTCTCAGTCATAATGGGCTTTTCCTTTCCACGTTTATGACTTCAACCGAATGCGGCAAACCACGCCGGACTTGTACTTGTCATGACGGTTACCACTAATTGAGCAGTAGCAGTTTGATCCTTGCAGCTCACGTCAGTTCACTTCAAGTTTGTTGTGATATTCAATTCTCTTAATCTTTAGTTGTCTTTGTAGTGTCTTGTAGTGCTTTTTGTCATTTTCCTCGTCCATACCATATATGGTTGTTCTTTTCAAATATAAAATTTATTGAAGCCAAAGGGAATGAAAATGATAAAAAGAAATAAGAGGAGAAAATTCAGACAATTGAAATGTTCACTTTTTTTTTGTCATGGCATTGTCAGTTTGTTTTCGGCCTTTGAAAAATCGCTTCGGTAATAGTGTTAATGATGGTCTTGGCTTTCTACTATATGACTCTTTTTGATATTTGTTGAAGTCTGAATACTATATTTTTATAAAGATCTGGTGAAAATACATATATAATACACGTTTTGTAGATTAAAAAATTTGATTGTATAATAGTGAGTGTACATCTGAAAGCTACTGGTTTAGGTAATGAAGACTTAGAAAGGCTTCAAAAGGAGATAGATAAAGTACCTGAAGTGATAGATGCCATAGAAAAACAATACCCTGGTAATTAAATACTTTGTTAGCCGTGCAGTGAGTCAGTATCCAAGGCTAGTAATTGTGTAAAAATCGATCTAAACATCCCTGCAATTGAAAGCTTGTCTAATAATGTACGTTGTTTTAAAAGCTTCAATATGGAATTATTAAAATCAACTCCTTTTCCATTATTTTAGATTGAATGGTTAAAGTATTTTACAGCTATCTAATTACTTTGCGAAAAAAATAGACTTTGTTACATATCTGTGTTTTACTGTTCAGTGTAAATTATTTTTTGACACGAAGAATAATGTAGAACGATATAAATCCAAAAAGCATTAATACAACCATAATTCAATTACATGTCAGTTTCAATAAAATTTCAGGAGAGGAAGATATCATTATATTAGGAGATTTCAATTTAGATCCAAAAGAGGAAGGTATGATAACAGCATAAGCATTCCACATGTCATTCAGTTTTATTTCACTAAGTCAGATTATATTTTTCAATTTAAAAACAGAAATCTAAAAAAAAATGTCTATTAAATTTCAATTTGAAAAGAGCTATCAAAAAACGTCTAATGTTGAAACTAAATCTGCTAGGGAGAAATCTTGAAGCAAGCTCCATAATCTGACCAATACTGTTGTCAATGCCTGTCAATTATGCTCATAAAATATTTCAAATGCAACTACAGTCGAAAGTATAATTAGTATACATATAAATGGACAATGCTATTACATAGCAAGAAACGCTTACTTTGTTTGGAGTTCACGCGATTCCCTCAGATTTTCCTTGTGTCTTCGCTTGTATAATCAAAATAATCTGCAAGTTTTGAACATAGGTAAACTACTGTTGACTCTTATTTATCATCATTTGAAGAATCAGAATTTTACGCCTCTGCAACACAATACTCCAAGAGACATATGATACATAATGTATTATATGTCTCTGATACTCCTATATTCACGAAATGAAATGGACGATAATAATGAAAACGGTTATGGATTGGACACAAAAGAGGATCACATTAAAATTGTCTCAGAAATGTGAAGTTTATTCTTTGTTAAACGTTTAATTATGTAAAACATTACAATTGCTGATTGTTTTTGACTGTATCCTTGACTAACGATTTTCAGTATAATGAAATGCAATATCTGTTGAGTCTACATTATATATGTTATCAAAAATGAAAAAAATGTAATTACAACAATGACTTCATATCTTAGTCAACGCATGAACAACTGATAGTAATCATTGTGTCCAGTTGGAAAACATTTGTCCTTATCAAAAAATACTTATGTTTGTTATTAGATTTTGATATTATGAGGGAGAAAGGATATAGCAATTGTGTCCCAATTGATGAGTTTACAAACATCAGCAATAGCAATCCTGAAGGTAGCCAGATTTATGATCATATATGGATAAGTAGCAGAACCAATAATTCATTTTCAGGTATGAAATATTTTCATTTGTCTGTTATATTGGAAACTTGTGAACATTGCAGTTAGACAAATCATCACACATTTTACAAAACGGTCAAGGAAACAACAAAGCTACCCATCATGTTATCTGTGTCTGGTCTACTTAGGGTAAAACAAAAATTGAAATATCTACACTTTGTTTGCCAAGATATTTATTTATGACCAACAAATATGTAAAGGCCTAAACGGATGTTTAAAAAATTTATTGTCGCTTGATTCTTTTTCTTTCTTTTCTTCATACATGAAGCAAACATATACCACCACTATGTTTCACTTGAATAATAAACCAATAAGCACACGTTTTAGTATCACAACCTCAATATCAAAATGTAAACATTAAAGTTAGAAAAATAATAAGATAACAAAAGTCAAACGGTAAAACAAACAATAATCTACAAAAAAAAAACAACACAGAACCATAAATTTTAAGCAAAGGATATCTCAGTTTCTCCAGAAAAATATGCTAGTGACATGCGTCTAATTATTCACAATGACATTCATACACATATATGTCAAAACTGTCTATTGACTAAACTTACAGACACATTGCTAAAGAACAATCCACTAGTTCTTATTTAAAGGTTATACATTGAACTGTGATGCACGTCATTCCTTGCAGCTTACTTAAATATAAAAGTATATAAAAATATAAAAAGGAACGTTATTTACAAGTTTAAATGTTATAATACCGATTTAAAATTTTGATGTAAATTTGACTATAATTGTGAATAATTAAAATCATGCCACATGCCTCTAATAAGAACCGAAGGGATGTAAAACTTATTATTTCTCTTTCGTTTCCACAAAAAATTTCCTAGACGTACGTAAACACACAGCTAGACCAAAGTTTTGAAAACCTAGAAATAATATACAAAACCTCACTGGATATGTATATTTTTCTAATGAATTGGAGGCGAATGATCTTCAGCATAATATGTACAAAAGATATCACAAAATAGCGAGTAGTGTAGTTTTTATTACTTTTAAGCTAAGATTGCATGTTACTGAGTAGATAAAATGAAAATTGTGTGAGTTTAATTTCTATAACTTGTTCAATACCAGTGCTGAAAGTTTCTTTAAGTTGTATCATTCGGCTAGTGGTAAATGTTTCGTCACTGGTTTTTAAAAAAAAAATCAGCAAAGATACCAGGCTTATAATTTTGTTCGCCAGATGCACACTTCATCTACAAAAGACCCAGTGACCCTCGAATCAAAAAGTTAAAAGGCAAAGTAAAGAACATTGAGGACCGAAAATTCCAAAAGATTTGGCCAAATACAGCTAAGATAATCTATTCCTATATTAACTTCATTATAGGAAATTTTCTGTTTAAAATGTTGGTTTTTTTTCTTTAAAACTAAAGCTTTTCTTGTCGCAGGCAAAACTTAGCTTGGCTGGTTTATAATCCAAAGATATGAACAGAACTGAATTGGATTACGATTTTAGCTTTAGTAGAAAGTATCAAATATTTAAAATGTTCTATTAAATGTATCTGAGCAAAAAAAACTTGCTTATGGGAATTATTATTTGTGAAATTATTTATATTTCTGTTTTCAAGGTAATTCAGGTGTTATAAGAGAAAATCTAACAAGTCCATTGATACCCAACGGATGGTCATGGGGAGGTCTTGTCAGTGACCACTGTCCAGTTTGGACAGAGCTATACACAGGGAAAGACTATGACTCGGCAGATCTGAGAATTATTCCAGATACAAATTTTATTCTCACTGGTTGATATCAAACATAAGAAACAAACAAAATTTGTGTAATAAATGTCAAATTACTTCCAAAAAAGTTGAAGACAATTACTAGCTACAGTAATGATTAACACACCATCTGCATGAGTGATTATATATCAAAATATGCATGCATACATTTATCGAAAGGTGTACATTTTAGTATCAAATAAGACTTGAATATAAATCTATAATTTTTTTGCCAGAATTAGTGAATTAAATATATATTTGTTATGTTATAAGAACTAATTATATAATCATAATGTATTTTAAAATAAATAAAATTGTTACTTCAAATGAAAAAATAAAAATGAAAACGAATGAAAGGTAAATAAAACTCTAAAAACTAATTTTTTAGTGTCCAAACTATATTCTTTGTCCTCATCCTCAGTTCACATGCATTTCCTGTAAGTGATTGTTACCTATAGAAATTATTTGATGGGATGGTGATCATCATTTATTTTGGATTGGTACCGCAGGCACTTGTCTCTGAAAAAAAAATCTTATATACCTTAACATAACACATAATCGCATTTTTGAAAAATGTTACCTGGTCGCGAATTTGTTATATTTCGATTTCTCAGTTTTCTACCCCACTGAAACTTGTTATGCCTTAAATCTAAATTGATTTATCTACACAATGGGGTATAACATGCCTACCTTTGTTGTCGGAATCATTCGTAGCAGGCCTACCCAAGTATGTCAACCGTAATTATTTCGTCTTCCCACAGCCGAGAATTACAGGTAATCATTTTCAATAGTCTAGAGGGTCATTATATATGACATTTAACACTGTCTCAAGAAGTAACATTGATCAGTTGATCATCATTTGTTTACAGAGTGAATTCTTTCAGTATCAATCACCAATTAAGGAAACCCTTAATAAATAACAGGGCCCGTAATTTCAAGGAAGTATTAAAAACATGGTAAGTGTAATCAGAACGTGTAAACTGTGCTACTTTTAATTTAAAACAAATAATGTGAGATGAGGTTACATTACTATAACGTGCGTAGTGATTTTAAGATAATTTTATGAATGAACAAGAGCAACTTGACCTCTTTCAAATAGAAACATGAATTAAATAACATTAAACCGTATAAGGGATAATTCAGTCAAATTTTCAATATTAAATCAACAACTGACATGATTCAATATTTGATAGTCAAACGGTTGTCTCCTTAAATACAAAAATACATCTACAAGAACATATGTTGTTTTTCAACTGTTTCAATTAATGTTTTTCATTAGAAAACATGCATAGGATTTTTAGAATGACAGACGAGGAATCTGCTCAAAATCTTTTGCTTGATCTTGGTCATAAAGATGGCTATACGCCATAGAATTAAAGCAATTGCTTTAAAAACCTCATGTGTTTCGAATGATTTTCATTTTATAAAGGGTAAATTTACATATACCGGTACCCTTCTTTGAATATGTACTAGACTGACATATATTGTCAATTTGTTTGAATACTAGCACACATGGTCGCACAACAGTCTGCAGTAAAACATGTCACATTAAATTTTTACTGATACCCAATATCTCTTTTTTCAACATACTCATTCAGTTTACATATATTTCCTTCAAGCATTTTCTGTTTTAAGGGATAATTATCCTAGATTTTGGATGAAACAAAAATCACTAAGCCCTCCATCCTAAAAACAACACCAAGGACAATCAAAATTCACTATATCCACTCTCCTCTCTACCTTCTTGAATATCTGAGTAGCACAAAAATGAAAAAATAGATAAAGTAACCATACACAATACAGGTAAAGTTTGATCTCATTGGGCTGAGTGGTCTAAAAGCTGATGTTCATGTATCATGTTAAACATGAGACCCCCTTTCTTAAGATGTAAAACATGACAAAATATTTTAAATCATCAACACAAATTAAATTCTGTGTAAAATAGTTTTATTCAAAGATATCACATATTTTGCATTACTCTCATACAATATTGATACAATACACAGCTTACTGAAAAAATGGTATGAAATATATTTGCCCTTAATTTCCACAGGAAAAAAATAAAGACAATTTATTTTGATTTTGAAATTACATAATGAAGTATTTTGCTGGATAAAAAAATTGTCAGAATCAAAGCTTTAACACAACAGAAATAAGATTTTCAAAATATAAAATAGGATAATAAGGTGTAATACCACCAAATCATAGTATGTCACATCCGGTTGCATACGAAAAAGGGTCGAAAAAATATTCCTTTGAATTTGCCAGTTGTAGGAAATTAATCCTACATTTCATCGCAGTAAAAAAATTCTGAGTCATACACATATATCTTGGGTGTTTCAAAGCACCATTATTTTTTTATTTGGTGTTTCTATAGAATATTTTGGAAACTTGAGGTTACATGGTTACTAAAGCTTGTACATAGGAAAAAAGGGGTGAAAATTTGATTGGTTAACTTCCAGTGATGGTTATTTTCTTATATGCAATGAAATGTTGTGTGAAATTTTGTCTATAGTACTGGACAGGATAAAATTTTACTCATGCCAAGTATTTTTTTATTTGAAACAAAGATAAATTCTGTACAATTATTTGAAAAGTGCAAATTTAACAAAGACTAATAGGGGAAAATCAATGGTGGTATTACAGCTGAAGCAAATGCTCTATTAACAAAATATCAAACTTTAAACAACAGATTTTACTGATCACTGATGTACTGTACCAGGTGTTTCATGTCGACAATTTTCTAGATTTAACTAAGATTTATCTTTTACCTAATTGCAGCATAGAGAATATTTTTTTCTTGAAATTTAAATCCAAAGTTTTGATTTACCAGGTAAGTGCATGAAGAGTAAATAAGACCATTTCACTTGACTTTTTCGATTAGTTGACACGGTTGCTGTAAATAAAATTGTCTCTTTTATTTCACAAGGACAGCAATTGTCTGAAATTTCATGTATCACATGTACTGTACATTGGAAATTGTCATTTTTAAGCTAAAAGCTATTTATCTGTCCCTTAAATACTATCAATTAATGTATTACACAAGATGATTTGCTGGTAAAAGTACCAATAATTTGTCACTTTAAATTTGTAATAATGAGGTTTCACATATTTTTGTGGGTACCAATTTTCATAGATGAAGGAAAAATTGTTATCTTGTGGATACTTGATTTTGTGGTATGCACATATTCTATGTTCAAGCCTTTAAAACTTTATATTATTTTGAAAAAATAACTTTGTGGTTTATCTATACCTACCAAATCCAAGAAAATTTAGTACCCATAAAATAAAATTGAATCTACAGAAAGAGAAAACCCATTATACCCATCTTTTACCACCAAACCACAATCAGAAATAGAACCTACTATTTTTCACACACTGGTAACATGATAACACAAAATGCACATATACACAATATACACAACATGATAAATAATAAATAAATAGCACAGACTTATAGATCAAAATGCATACATAAATAACAAACATTTACTCTTGAATTCATTTTCATGTTTAATTTTACTTTAAAAATCAATACAGATCTTCCAAAAAAAAGCACATCAGTTTAAAAAAATTACCCAAATATCACATGTACAGTAAAAATCAACAAAGAAAGTAGTATGTTCACTTAGTAATTCAACTGAGATCTTTTCAGGATATTTACTACTAACATTAAAAATAACAACATACTCCTAAATTTATTATTTTTTATCTAGATATACAACTCATTCAAAAGAATGATATGAATAAGCTCACATTCTTGTTTTTTATATAAAATTTTTTTACAAAGAAAACCCAGATTTTTAGTGGAAAAGTAATTTCACTAATTTTTTTTCATGGGGGAATGTTAGAAGGGAGTAAAAATGTTAAAATCCTTGAAAAATAATAAAGAAATAATAGTAATTTGGAATATTTTGACAGATGTGTACTTCAGCAATTCCTCAGAGAGTTACAAGAAGGCAAATGTTGAAATGTCTTGCTTACTTTACTGACCATGATTGATTTAATGTTGAAAGTCTTAAAGATAAAGGTTTTACTACAAGTATCACATAAACTCAACATTGTCAATGATCCATGACAATAAATTCAAGGTCAAATAAACACTGTCAGACAGATATGTACACCTTACATTCATTAAATACACTAAATACATTTGAACTTTTTGCTAAAAGTATCAAAGAAACAGACTTAACCATAAAAACTAAACATTGACCAATGAATAAGGGTCCAGAAACAGTCATATTTGCCGGTCATGACCTAAACTGAAAGCTATTTGTCCTAAACGGCAGATTGGGATTTAAAACAAATTTTTTTTTTTTTACAGAAATAATTTCGGTCATTTCATTGAGATTGGGTTTCTTAATCGGCATTTTGCACTTGTTTTTGGTTTTGTAATCCCTGTCCTGTAATAAAACTGCCACTCCAGTATAGTATGACAATCCCGAGGGCCCTCCTAACAACTATATTAATGCCTCCGGGAATTATTGGCTAATGATTGCTAATCACTTTTTACCTGTGTTTTTAAAATCACACCTGACAGTAAACTAATATTATAAAGAAATGAAAATTCCATGACAACTTTCTTCATTATTTAATTACTTTTCAGCAAAGACAATCATCAATTTTTATCAAAAAAAAATTAAAACTTAATTTAATTTACGTAGAAAAAGTAATTTTTCATGAGTTAAACATGTGCTTTATTTACTATGTAATACGCATGTTTGATATAGTCTTCACCAGTTAAGACACTTAATCGTAAAATGCAAAATGATTTCATTCTAAATTAAATGAGGGTAACTATTATCTGTTATATTCAAACACCTTTAAAGGTAATAAAATTAAAAATACGGTGATTTCCTGTCAATTTGATAAACAGAACGAATCCCGGAAATGAATCCAGAATTATTCGTACTTTAGTATTGTCGCAAAACTTCCAGTTTTATATTCATCTTCAAAATCGAAAGAAACTTTGAGATGTCTGAAAATTTACCATTTTGAGTCATTAAAATCATTTCAATTTTAAAAGTTGCATTCCATAAACAGTTCTTGAAAGTTTTTAGAAAAACGGTAAGAAAATTCATGAAGTAAATGTGATGAAACAGTCAATACAAGTTCTTTATTGCTATAATCAAGTGTGATTTCGACAATTTGAAAAAAGGGCCCCAACTTTTAAGTCATCTCAAAATGACTTAGATTGTGTGAAAAAATTTCTGGATCCTTGCCAATGAACCATGAAAATGAGTACAAGGTAAGATGAACCCTGCTCGTCTGACATGTACACCTAACAATCATTCCATACACTAAATATAGCTGACCTATTACTTATAGTATCTGAGATCTATATGATAGATAAAATTTCACTGTATTTTCAAAACTGCTCTTTAAATATACCCCCCCTACCCCCCCCCCCCCCCCCAAAAAAAAAAAAAAAAAAAATCCCTCAAAACTTTTAATCATTCAGTACAAACTTTAAAATCTAACATCATTTTCAATTTCATAAAACAATCCTACAGAAATCATACAAGACTTGAAAAGTCAACATAATATTCCAGATATTTATAATATCTTCTTTATAAATGGTATTTTCTGAATAAACTGTTTCTCAAAGGTAACAAATCTAGGTGAAAACATCAATCTTAATTAAATTCATTGCTGTCAGAGGGGATTAAGGTGGAAAACTTATAATCATTCAAATTGTAATTAATATATAAAGTTATCACAAGGTATCTTGATGTTAAAAAAACCTATAAAAACACAATATGTCATTAGCCTAAAAATTACTTCTAATTAACAAAAATAAGTATTATAGTGTTAATTTTAAAATGCATCAATACAATTTGGTATGTATCTTCAAATATAAAGCTGCAATCACAAACATGAAATGGTCCCAAAACATTAACATTATAAAATTAACACACAAAATGGTAGTCTAGAATAAAATTAACACACACACACTGATACAATAAAAATAGGGACTGTCTACGATTACCTGCAGAAAGTGGCAATAAGAAATAACTATTGTTACTTGCGACACCAATTGCCGTATGAAATCGGTTGCCTGCCAGGAATACATTTTCGGCAATTAGTTCTTAGCGAAAATCCTTTCCAACTAGCCAAGATAAGGTTCGTAACAAGTTTCATGGTTCCACAATTCTACTTGAACCAATGTTCAAATCTGTAACATCAAAAACATCATAACAATAAAGTAATAATAATATTATTAATAAATTAATACATGGATTAAAATAAACAATTAACAACATCTTGTGTCCTGGACAAATGAGTAAAAATTACAAACCTTCAATAAATGCCTCAATAAAAACACATATGAACAGTATTTAAACTATGCAACATAAATCAATATTCTAATATCATATATTCTGTACTATGGATTTGTTTATCGTCATGGATACCAATTTTCTTGAAGAGGCAATATCAGAGAACCAGATGTATCATGTATGGCCTATAAATATGAAATATATAAACAAAAAAACATTAAAAAAAAAAAAAAAAACTGAAATCTTTTAACTTTATCTACCAGTTATACTATTTTGATTTAACAATTATTTTTTAATATTTCTAGGCATCAAAAATGTTTCTAGTCACAACCAATTATTAAAGATAAGTGTGATGGTCTTTAAATTATAATACTCAAAACTTATATACAAAATGAACCTATCTATAAAATATGGTAAAAGTACACAGTACATCAAACTACCAATATATGAAATAAATGAGTGGCACCTTCATAAATGATAAACCTAACATCTAATCATGAAAAATAATATAAATACAAAAAATAATACAATAATTGACTGGATACAAGTAGTCATTTGAGCAATTTACAGTAGATCAATTCTGTGTAACTTCATTCTCAATAAGGCTTGTCTCCACTTCATCTTCAGATTCCGAGTCAGACATTGTAGGAGCAACTTTCTTCACATCTTTAAACCACTGATTTGTCAGATAGTTCATCTGTGTTTGTCCTTCTCTTACTTCCTGTAAAAATACACAAGAACCATAAACATACTAAAATGTTACTTTTATGTCAAATTGTCTATGTCTTTGTTCCTCATAATAGTTTTTATTTACACAGGGAAATCTCTTTTAATGGCACACTTTATATATTTTAATATTCTTTAAATCCTGTAAATTCTCTGCAATAACTAGATTATGCCTAATGATTGAAATAATTAAACAAGAAATGTCCTTAAATTTTTTTTAACATCTATTGCTCAAAAATATCTTCCTGTGCCTTAACATACTAGTGTAATTGATTCTGCCATGAGTGTACTTGAGTTATCTACCCTTGACCTATTTACTGAAAATAGATAACTTACTTCTCTTAAGCACTGCAGCAAAAAGAAAAGCATTATTTGTCTACCCTCTTTTGCAGAAGAAATGAAGCTATTTTTATATTATTCAGATAAAATTATAGTACTCTCAAAAGAAATTTCAAATAATGGCTGTTTTACTTTTCACAAAACTGCTGTTTTCTAAATCATTGTCTGAATAACATGACACATAAACCTCCCCCACCTTATAAAATATATGTTCTGAACAAGAATGTGTCCATAGGACACCATGCTCCACTTGCAGTTTACATTTCCATGTCAAGAGAAACCATGAAATCTGAGTCAAAACAATAATTTGGCATATTTTTACTAAGTTCATATCATACTGTGTACGAAGTTTAAAGTTGATGTGACCATATACTACCTTAAATCAAAACTTTAACCTGATATGGGATGGACAGACAGACAGACAGACAGACAGACCAGAAAACATAATTCCTCTCTACTATGGTAGGCAAGGCATACAAATTTAAGTACATTCCTAGCAGTTACCACCATTGTCTTTAGACTATTTCTTGAAGTGTTTTTAGGTGTTGACAAATTTATATTTGTGGCAAACGTATCTCTTTATAGTGGTTATTGCAATATGACGTGCTACTTATTAAAAATATTGATGTTCTATCCCAGTTTCCTATGCAAAATATGGATTACACATATTCAAAACTGTAAATTGGTTATCTATGGAATATAATTTTTTTCATTGTTGACATTTCTCTTTTCTAATGGAAATTCTATTTCAGTGAACGCTTCTTACTTGAAAATTTATACTTTCTTCCTTTGTATTTTGGTAAGATATTGCTCAAAGCTGTTTTTACCATTCAAAATTGTATCTATTCGTTTGAAAAAGTAATTCCTTTGACCATTCTAATTAAAACATTTTTTCCTCTGCTTCTATAAATTGTTTGATTAAATCAATTTACAAGTCTCACTATAATGAGATATGTATTTACCGATAATTATACATTATTCACTAATGTTCGTATAATGATATTTGAATAACATAAAAAAATATTGTGTGTACAAACCTGTTTAGTAAATCTCCTTGTAAAGAATGGCACGAGATATTTAGCATCAAACTTTAGAAAGCCTTTCTGGTTTGGTTTTAAATAATGGATTTCATACTCCTCTTCAGTTAACTCTGATAAATGGTCAGTATCTACTGTTTCTCCCTGTCAAATAAAATAAAGTATGGTCAGTATCTACTGTTTCTAGCTGTCAAATGAAAATCAAACATATTAAATCCCACCACATTCTGTATGTGACTGTCCCAAGTCAAGAGCCTGTAATTCAGTGGTTGTCATTTGTTGATGTATACATCATTTTCCTTTTTTTTTCGTTTATTGTTTTGTACATAAATCAGGCCGTTACTTTTTTTATTTGAATTGTTTGACATTTGTAATATTGGAGCCTTTTATAGCTTTCTATGTGGTAGGGGTTTTGCTCATTGTTGAAGGCTGTACCGTGACCTTCAGTTACCAACTTCTACATAATTTGGTTTTTGGTTTTTGATAGAGAGTTGTCTCATTGACAGTAATACCACATCTTCTTATCTCAATATCACATGAAAATAAACTTAGGCAACTACTCAGAATATTTGAGAGTCAACAAAAATTAACCACATTTTCAAACAATTTAAAAACTACAATTTTTTGATACACCTATATCAAAAGTGTGTGAAGAAAGATCTGATCAAAAAATGTTGTGTATATATATGCATTATACACACTTTTATTTTGAAACTTATGGGCTTCATTATGAATATGGTAAATTCAAAATACCACAAAATGTAATGTATTTCATAAAATAACATGTAACATTTCATTTACATAAGGGCTGTTCTAGAATTAAATGAATGGGGTATATATGGGAGGCACTTTTTTTATCCATACCACTCTTAATATAATACTGTCATTTTACTTATAATTTATACAAAATTCTAAGGAAAATGCACCACCCACAAATAATAAATTTGAGTGCCTCCCAGCACCCACACCATGATCAATTTGGAACAGCCCTTATTAAAATTTATGGTTTTTGAGCATATTTATAATTTTGTAAGTATATTTGATATCCTTACCATTTCCTTAGTTTTGCTGAGAGAAACTTCTTTACCAGATTTCTTCTTTTTTTTAGTTTTTGCTGTGGCATCTAAAAGCTACAAAATTAATAATATCATTATCAGCTTTTGTTTGAATTTATTCATCATAATACACTTTCTTCTGAAATTATAAAAAGACACAATATATAAATACAATATTAGTTCTATATAAACTTGACATTACTGAAAATGCAACCCTGTTAACCTCCTTGCAGTTTTAACTAGAGGCTCTAAAGATCTCTAAAGAGGACCTAGGTGCATCTTCAACAATGGCCACTCTCATAAATTATTATCATAGGATATAATTCATGACTAAAATCTCTTTTTTTATTGATCATGCCTTGCTGATATTTTTATTGTTTACAGTTTTTCTCTTTTCCCTATGATTTTTGCTTAAAATGCAAAAGGGTAAAAAAAAGTTATCATTTTTTTAAAGGGAAATAACTCCTATAAAGAGTTGACAATTTGAAGATCTTGCCCTGCTATAAATCATTTTGGCATTCATTTAAAGTTTTGATACATCTATTATAGTTTTCAAGATAAAAGGTAAAAATTTGGTATACATTATAGGATTAAACACATTTTTTCTAGAGGTTATTCATGTGTAAACTGGGGAGATTAACTCACAAACTGAATAAAAGTCCGAAGGACTTTTATGTTAAGTTTGTGAGTAAGAGCCCCGGTTTACACATCAATAACCTCTAGAAAAAATGTGTTTAATCCTTATAATTCTTAAGCCAAATATTCGCTATTTTTAATTTACATTTTTTTGTGTAATGGCTACTATAATTACCATCAAATGCACTATTGACAGGTCGTAACTAAGGAGTTGGCCGCCATATTGAATTTCTAAAATCTATAAAGGTTCGATAAATGCAACAGAATCTAAAATAAAATAGGACTTATCCCAAAAACATCATTTTAATGAGATACTTTCCTTATTTGAAGCATACAAGTAACGAAATAATCTTTCCCTTGAAAGTTTTCATTCGTATGACGTCGTGTTTTGCCATGACGTAAATTCACTAAATCATTCATGAAATTTCGCGGAATTTTATTTAAATTTTATTTTTATACATTTTCGAAGCTTTAATGCATTATTTCTTTTTTGTTATATATATGCATTAGAATAGAAACAACTGTTATGTATTTGTTTTTTAATCTCAATTTGCTGAAAATCCCGGGATCCTGGCATGCATGTGTATCGCGCATGAATAGATCACAGTGAAGGTTACTAAAGTAGTTTCGGAAACATGGTATATCGAAGTGTAAACCAAGAGAAAAATTCTAATTGACCAATCCAATTCAAGTATTTATAGATATGTAAATCATATAAGAATTATTGTCTTTTAAGGCAATAATTCAAACACACAAATTTACATTGTAATTTAATGATATTAAAACAATTTGCACCTTGCATAAGAATCTTAAAAGCATCAACCCTAGTATTTTCAAAACAGTTTGAGTTTTCATTTCACTATGTACATAAATGTACTCATAATACTTGTGTTGCATGGGCACTACAAACCTTAGCTTAGAAAGCAAATATATTTGATGTAGGTAGTCTAAAAGAGAGCATTTCTCCTTGTTTTTGCTATTTACTTAAAATAGGTTTCTAAAGCGGCAATTACGTGCAGAACAGTCGTTGCCAATCAGAAATATTTATTTAGAAATTTGAAAAAAATATGTAGAATTCCTTATATAAACATGACATAAGCTTATTATTACCCTTGCTTATGAAGAACTCATTGTAAAGGAGTTCCAGAGGAAATAAAAATAAAAAAATAAAATCCACCCTCCCACCCCATTTTTTCAAACATTTGGATAAAAATCTACTAATTAGTTTTAGTTGGCCTAATGATGATTTGGCAAAGAATGGTTCCAATTGACCGTTAGTTTCAGAGGAGGATTTTTGTAGAACAAAACAGACAACAAGTGATGAGAATAGCTTAATGGATGCTTTTGTTAAGGTGAGCTCAAAAACCAAATTTATTTCTAAAAATATTTAAATTTTTATAGTCAATGTGTTGCATGACCAGAAGTTATATCCATCACACTTCACAGATCTACAATTTGTTTGTTATTGGGATTTAAATTTCACAATATTGAAAAAATCACCAAAACAGAAGATATTCAATAATTTAGGATTAGGGGCACATATCTGTTAACATAAACATATTGATTACCTGTATCCTCTTATTTCATAACTTAAATGCTTCAGCACCATTCAGTGCTAAAAAAGGAAATACAGCCATTGTTTCTTCAAAACATGGTTACTTTCCTGTGTTTCATAAAATTTTGGTCTTGGAATATCAACTTCATGGACTTTTAGGCAATCAATCTAAACAGCTTCATTCTAATAGCCAATTTGTTTTCTTTTCATTTTTTTTAATTAGGAATAAGATTTAATTCATTTTTTTTAAGTAGGAGTATGATAATAACTTACCTTCATTAAAGGCATTGTAGCTCCACCAAGGAACATAGTGGTAAATAAAACAATGATTAAAGTGGTTGTCACTAAAATGTATCTTTTCTCTTCATCCTCTTTAGAAAATTCTAAATGTAAACATAAGGCAAATGCAACAGCACCTCGTAAACCTGGAAAAAAGAATAATAATAATATCAAAATCACATATTTTAATTTTGATGTAAGTAACAAGAGGCTCTCAAGAGCCGGTGTCATATGGTATTTTGAACCTATGATTAATTGACCCAGGGTCAAAATACTGCTATATGGTAAATTGAACACCCCTGTATGGAAAATTGACCCCCCATGCTAAATTGAACCCCCCAGTTTTTTTCATTATAGATGATTATTAGAACATTATACATTATTCTAATGCTTATCATAGATTAAAAATCATTCATACAAGAAGGGGAGGTCAATTTTCCATGATTGGTTAAAAGATATATCTTTGCTTGGTATAAGTGCTCTGAAGTCTTTACCAACAAAATTTCATTCAAAATACTTATTGAAGCATTATCACTAGACCATGTAGCTTGAAGGCTTTAATTATTTGAAATTAAAACATATATATATATATTTATATATAGTTTTGTTAAAATATACTTTTTCACTTTTTTGGTCGTTTGGAAAATGTTGTTTGTGATGTATTTAGACCCCTCTACCAAGAAATTTGTTTTGCATGCACACGTATAAAAATTGCGGTTTTTATCCAATGCAATCATAGGTTTGAACGTTGTTTTCAATTTAGACTTGTATATATATTATATATATACAGGTAGTTTTAATTTTCCATGGAAAAAAGGGGGAGGGGTCAAATTACCATGGCTCAGTTAAATTCAAAAAGTAAAACTTTCAAAACATCTTTTCCAGCATGTTAAATACATACAAACTACTTATTGGAGTATTATTACTATATACAAGAGTTAGAATTACTAGAATTTTAGAAATTAAAGGTCTATGGTAGGGGGTTCAATATACCATGGCAGGGGGGGGGGTCAAAATACCATGGCAAAGTAAAATTTTCAAAATATCTTTTCCAGCAATTTAAATACATACAAACTACTTATTGGAGTATTATAACTATGTAACAGAGTTAAAATAGCTAGAATTTTTGAAATTTGAGGTGTAAAAGGGGGGGTTCAATATACCATGCCAGTAGGGGGGTCAAAATACCATGGCTAGATAAAATTTTCAGAACATCTTTTCAAGCAAGTAAAATACATACAAACTACTTATTAGAGTATTATAACTATATACAAGAGTAAGAATTGCTAGAATTTTTGAAATTAAAGGTTTATAGTAGGGGGTTCAATATACTATGGTAGGGGGGTCAAAATACCATGGCAAAGTAAAATTTTCAAAACATCTTTTCCAGCAAGTTAAATACATACAAACTACTTATGGAAGTTTTATTACTATGTAACAGAGATAGAATAGCTAGAATTTTTGAAATTAAAGGTGTAAAAGGGGGGGGTTCAATATACTATGGCAGGGGGGTCAAAATACCATGGCTAGATAAAATTTCCAAAACATCTTTTCAAGCAAGTAAAATACATACAAACTACTTATTGGAGTATGATAACTATATACAAGAGTCAGAATTGCCAGAACTTTTGAAACTAAAGGTCTATAGTAGGGGGTTCAATATACCATGGCAGGGGGGTCAAAATACCATGGCAAAGTAAAATTTTCAAAATATCTTTTCCAGCAAGTTAAATACATACAAACTACTTATTGAAGTATTATTACTATGTAACAGAGATAGAATAGCTAGAATTTTTGAAATTGGAGGTGTAAAAGGGGGTGGGGGTCAATATACCATGGCAGGGGGGTCAAAATACCATGGCTAAATAAAATTTTCAAAACATCTTTTCAAGCAAGTAAAAAACATACAAACAACTTATTGGAGTATAATTACTATGTAAAGGAGTTTTAACAGCTATAATTTTTAAAATTAAAGGTCTATAGTAGGGGGTTCAATATACCATGGTAGGGGGGTCAAAATACCATGGCAAAGTAAAATTTTCAAAATATCTTTTCATGCATGTAAAATACATACAAACTACTTACTGGAGTATAATTACTATGTAAAGGAGTAACAGTAGCTAGAATTTTGAAATTGGAGGTGTAAAAAGGGGGGGGGTTCAATATACCATGGCAGGGGTCAAAATACCATGGCTAAATAAAATTTTCATACCTACCATGGTATATTGAACCCCCTACTATAGACCTTTAATTTTAAAAATTATAGCTGACATATACATATGGGAAAAATGACCCAGGGTTCAATTTTTAGGGGGTTCAAAATACCATATGACACCAGAATTGCTCACCTAGTTAAATTGTACCATTTTGATATTCAGTTTTACCTTTATTGCAATCAGTCAAGTTTGCTTATTTGTAAATCTTAGTGACATTTTTGACTTGTATGACTTGTATTGATGATCATTTTTACTGTTTACAGTTTTAAAAAAGAATTGGCAAAATTATAAAAATTCTTAATTTTGACCTTTTCATGACTTATTTGAAGATCTGATTTTGATCTCATTTATGCCATTAATAGTTTATATGTATTAAAATTTTTACAAAAATGCAAAAAAAAAAAAAATGGCATTTAGGGGCAATAACTTTATGAGGAGTCAGTTGATCATTTCAGACATGCAGACTTTGTTGATAATATTTTGCTGAAATTTTTGCTATTGACAGTTTCTCTATATCTTTTATTGCTTTTGCAAAAAATGGTTAAATTTGTCTTTCAAGGGCATACTCTGGTAAGAGGTCAATTGAAGATTTCAACTATTTTGACTGATTTGTATCTTATTGTTCTCTTCAATTTAGTCTCTTTCTATTATAGTTTTCAAGATAATAACCAAAATCTGCAAAATTTGCTACAAAACTTATATTTCAGGGTCAATAATTCATCATGGGTTGTCTGATCTTTCTGAAACTTCCTGGAGATAGGCCATGACCTGAAGAACATCTTTACCCAATCAGTTTTCCTCTAACTGCTTTAGTTTTAGAGCTATTAATCAAAACTGTGGAAAAAATTCAGGGGCAATAACCCCAAAAAAGATTTGTAGATTTTTCTGAAAATGCTGAACATTTTTACCCCACATCAGTTTTGTTCAAACTGTTTAAACTTTTAAGATATAAGCCAATAAATTGATTCGCCGAGCGCAGCTGGATACGACCACAGAGGTCCAACCCTGAACAGTTGGGGCAAAAATGGATACAATATTCTTGCTTGATACAGGTCTGAATTTGGATTGAAATTAAATGTTTGACACATAATAGGTTTCTGACACAGAATAACTGTAGTCAAAGAACTTAGAATTGGTTATATGATTTGAATTTATATTCAATTTTTTACATTCAGGTAAAGCTCTACCTTAGAGCAATATCAAGGACAAAATGATGGACATAGGTAAAACTATATGCCATTTCAACTTAGGGTCAAGGACATGCAATCATCATATTAAAGTAACTGATGCATGTATTCTAAAATGTATAAGCTCAGAACTTAAGATTTGTAAGAAACTAAGTTTTGAAGGTTGTTTTTCTGATTTCAATCTCAATCAATGTCTTTTATTGTTTGCCTAATGTCCAATATCATATATTTCATACATATTCAGGACAACAATCTCAAACTAAGAGAAACATGCTACTTTAAAAATGTCCCAAAGTTTATGAAGGAGATTGGTAATTATCCACATTAAAATATATTACAAAGCGGCAAATATATACCTGTGCATTGAAGATACAAATACATGACATATAATCTTGGTTAACTTACCACTAAACCACATTATAAATTGATTTTTACGAGTAATCTTATGTTCTCTGAAGAAATTAGCTAGAAATGTTAATGGAAATATATTGAAAGCTCTTCCTATCAACACAAGTGCCTGAAAAGACAAAATATAAAACATTTATTTTTTTAGTTGAAAAACATAAACATGCATGTACCTAATTCAAAATTTGTATAGAGCTGCAGTGGCTGAGTGGTCACGACATATGGACGACACCAATTGTACATAACACAGACATTCTTCAGCCTATCACCACTACTGTACTGAAAGGAGGCTCAAAATAACTATTCAATATAAGGAAGAGATGTGCTTGATCTTATGGTATGTGGTTAGTTTGTCAGCAACTCTGGAAATACCATCTTTTATTTTGTATTTGAATGTTTCAAAATCAATCAATGTCTTATACATGTACATGTATATGTGCACTTGCATAAGGTGGTTTTTTATCTGACACAGCTCATATATTAAGTGTCTTAGTTATCAAATAGAACTTAGTGTTGTTGGCAGATCTTTGTCTTTGATAGTCTCTATTAAATTTATTTGCAACTTTTCTAGACTAAGGCAATTTAAAACTTGAAATATAGTATAGAAACTTGTTTATTCATAAAGACTTTAATAATGTTGACCTTTATAATTCTTTTGGTTTTTCCTATTGCTGGGTTGATGTCTAACTAGATATCATTGAGATGGGAGCCATCTCTGTGGGCCCCGCTGTGAATAATGTGTGGTCAAAAATGTGTATCTTTATCATTGGACATGGGGTTGTCAAATGAAACCAAAGTTTTTAACCTTGACCTTTGACCTAGGAAATTGTACATAAATTATGACACACCCTCTGGTGTTGGTTTATATACATATCAAGTATAAACTTTGAAATCATAATGATTCTCAAGATATAGAGCGGACACGATCTTTACCATAGGACATGGGGTTGTCAACTAAAACCAAAGTTTTTGACCTTGACCTTTGACCTAGGAAGTTGAACATACATTATGACACACCCTCTGGTGTTGGTTAATATACATGTCAAGTATAAACTTTGAAATCATAACGGTTCTCTAGATATAGAGCGGACACGATTTGTTACAGACGGACGGACGGAAGGACGGACGGACGACAGACGGACGGACAGACTGATCACTATAGGGCGGCCGCCATTCGGCGGGGCCTAATAAATGTACATCTCACATCTCCTTTCATTCATATTAATAATACTTACAATACCCCATATGACTAGAGCTGGCTTGACTATTAAACCATTAAAACTAAATATGGCTAACCCAAGATAGGCAAACACACAGGTTTCTGAAAAAAATATACATTTCAAAATAAAGATAGGTAGTTTCATAAATGAAAAAATCCAAAATCACTAAAAAAAAGAAAAGTTTACACATACCTACCACTGTCAAAAATTTCATTAAACATCAACATATGTTATAATATACAACAAATTTAACCTCATGTTCATATAATAATGTTATTCTTTCTTTCATTAATACTTTTAAATGTTATAGATATTGCTAAATACAATCAAATTTATAAATTCATTCTTTAAGGTTATCAGTTTAACATTGATTGATTGACTGACTAGTGTTTAATGCAACTTTCAGCACTATTGTGCTATTTCGAGGCAGTCAGTTTTTATAGGTGGAAGAAGCTGGAGTGCCAGGAAAGAACCACAGACCTTTGCTAGGCTAACTGACAATCCTAGTCAATTAACATTAATGTTGAGCACACCTTCCAGGTGCAATTCACAACCTCAGTGTTGGCAGGCTAGTGATACATCTCATCTTTGTATTAATTTAAGTGATGTGATGTGTATGTGTATGTGTGTATTGTTTACATACCTGCTAATCAATGATATAGTTCTAAATGTTATCTGTGTAGTGATCTGTGTGGTGTCAGTCATGTTTGTGTATATAGGTATGTCTGTGTGTACTGTTTACATACCTGCTATAAATGATATAGTTCTAAATGTCATCTGTGTAGTGATCTGTGTGGTGTCAGTCATGTTTGTGTATATAGGTATGTCTGTGTGTACTGTTTACATACCTGCTATAAATGATATAGTTCTAAATGTCATCTGTGTAGTGATCTGTGTGACTGGTGATAGATTTGAATGAGTATAATGAGACATCACAATTCCACAAAATAAAATGGCCATGATACCTGTAAGTAAACAAATAGAATCAGAATACAATGGGAGTAGGTTCATAAAGTATATAAAAATAGGAAGATGGTGTATAATTGCCAATGAGACAACTTTCCACCAGAGACCAAATGATGTAGAAGTGTCAATAATAGCCTTACAAACTAGAGGCTGTCAAGAGCCTGTGTCGCTCACCTGTATTTACTGATGCTTTGGAAATCATGTAAAACAAGAAATGATTGTAACAGGATGCTGTTACGAAGTCTCCCAAACGAAGCTCCCATAATTCGTATGACATTGACATTGGGCAAAGTCCAGTGAAAATTGGTTTGGTCCAGTAAAGTTATATGCATTAGTGATGCCTGGGGACTAACCTTGTATATCATTCAAATCATCTTGGCATGACAAACCAGAATATATATGGTTTAGGGGTGGGGATCTCGACCATTTACAAGATACTAGAACATTGGGGGTGGGGGGAACCCCTGGGGACTGACCCTATACGTCATTCAAATGTTCGTTACATGACAAACAGGAATATATATGGTTTAGGGGTGGGGATCTCAACTATTTACAAGATATAAGAACATTGGGGGTGGGGGGAACACCTGGGGACTGACTGTATACGTCATTCAAATGTTCGGGATATGACAAATAGGAATATATATGGTTTAGGGGTTGGGATCTCGACCATTTACAAGATATTAGAACTTTCTCAAATGGCAGGGGGTCGGGATGACCCCTGGGGACTAACCCTGTATTTCATTTGATGTGCTTTATCATGACAAACCAGAATATATATGGTTTAGGGGTGGGGATCTCGACCATTTACAAGATATTAGAACTTTCTCAAATGGCAGGGGGTCGGGATGACCCCTGGGGACTAACCCTGAATATCATTCAAACCATCTTAGCAAGTCAAACCTGAATATATATGGTTTAGGGGTGGGGATCTTGACCACTTACAAGGTATTAGAACTTTCTTAAATGGCAGGGGGTGGGGTGACCCCTGGGGACTAACCCTGTATTTCATTTGATGTGCTTTATCATGACAAACCAGAATATATATGGTTTAGGGGTGGGGATCTCGACCATTTTCAAGATATTAGAACTTTCTCAAATGGCAGGGGGTCTGGGTGACCCCTGGGGACTAACCCTGTATATCATTCAAACCATCTTAGCATGACAAACCAGAATATATATGGTTTAGGGGTGGGGATCTCGACCATTTACAAGATATCAGAACTTTCTCAAATGGCAGGGGGTTGGGATGACCCCTGGGGACTAACCCTGTATATCATTCAAACCATCTTAGCATGACAAACCAGAATATATATGGTTTAGGGGTGGGGATCTTGACCACTTACAAAGTATTAGAACTTTCTTAAATGGTAGGGGGTGGGGGTGACCCCTGGGGACTAACCCTGTATTTCATTTAATGGGTTTTATCATTTAGAACATTTTCAATTAAAAAGATTGTGTCTATCACAAACGGTTTTCAATTTATAATCATTTGAAAATTTAAAAAAATAAAATCCCATAGGGTTCTATAGTAAAACACTCTTTTCTTTTTGCCCCTCAAAGTATCCCTTTATAAATCCCATTGCACAAACTAAACCCTGATTGCACCACTAGACATGTTAGTCTAACATATTGTGAACCCTAAGTTAATCTGACAAGCGGTTTTGGAGAACGGGTGCGGACAAGTTCAAATTTAAAAGCGGCGGAAGAGGAAGAGGAAGAGGAAGAAGAATAATAATAATAATAAGAACTGAGCAAAAACAATAAGTCTTCCCAAACTTCGTTTGGGAGACTTAATAAGGTTAAAATCATAATTAATAGTATTAGATATTAGATATTATAATGATATCTAAGATAATAACAAAAAACTGCAAAATTTTTGTAAAATTACTAACTCAGGGGCAGCAACCCAACAACGGGTTGTCGGATTAGTCTGAAAATTTCAGGGCAGATAATTCTAAATCTGATGAACATTTTTGCCACCTAGCAGATTTGCTCTAAATGCTTTAGTTTCAGAGATATAAACCAAAAACTCAATTTTACCCCTATGTTCTATTTTTAACCAAGTCGGCCATGATGGTTGGAAGGCGGGGTAATCGGACAAATTTTTTAAACAAGATACCCTAATAATGATTATGGCCAAGTATGGTTAAATTTGTCTCAGTAGTTTCAGAGAAGATGATTTTTGTAAAAGATTACAAAAATTTACAAAAAAATTGTTAAAAATTGACTATTAAGGGCAATTACTCCTAAAGGGGTCGACTGACAATTTTGGTCATGACAACTTATTTGTAGATCTTACTTTGCTGAACATTATTGCTGTTTACAGTTTATCTCTATCTATAATAATATTCAAGATAATAACCAAAAACTGCAAAATTTCCTTAAAATTACCGATTCAGGGGCAGCAACCCAACAACAGGTTGTCAGATTTGTCTGAAAATTTCAGGGCAGATAGATCTTGACCTGATAATCAGTTTTACCCTATGTCAGATTTACTCTAAATGCTTTGGTTTCAGAGATATAAGCCAAAATCTACATTTTACCCCTATGTTCTATTTTTAGCCATGGCGGCAATCTTGGTTGGTTGGCAGGGTCATCGGACACATTTTTTAAACTAGATACCCTAATGAAGTTTGGTTAAATTTGGCCCAGTGGTTTCAGAGGAGAAGATTTTTGTAAAAAGCTAACGACGACGATAATGCCGCCGACTATGACGGACGACAGACGCCAAGTGATGAGAAAAGCTCACTTGGCCCTTTGGGCAAGGTGAGCTAAAAAGCTGAAAAAATCAAATATGCATTTATAAAACCATTTCGGAATATATGTATTAATCTATTGAGGAACATCAATTAATTATAATCATTTTCAGTGAGTATATATCCTACCTATGTAGGTTTAGCATTTATTAAATCTTCATATTATCATGAAGTATCTCTAGAACGTAAAAATGACATCACCAAAATTCACACTTGATCTGTGTTTTGTGGTAATAAGCATAATATTGTGTCTAAGTTTCATAACATTTGGCTGAGGCAAACTAAAGTTAGAGAAAGGAAACCAATTTCGGTACGTACTTACAGAAGGACAAGAGTAACACTTAATGTCCCCTCTGCTGCGACTGGGGCTTAAAAAGTGAATAATTAGCATGTATAATACTGTGGATTCATAATTATTCCTGGGATATCAACCTACGTGGTTATAGGTAAACCATGAATTTAAATGTTCAACAAAGTACACATTTCTATAAGCTTGTATGCAGACTTTGGCAAATCCATGAACTTAAATATCCATGAAAATACGACTTTTCCGCAAACCAGAAAAATTAATACCCACGAAAATAAATGAATCCACAGTATACATTTGGAGATCTTGTAAGTGTCGAGTTTTACCTGATAAATGTAATCCCTCTGCTAAACCATATGGGAGATATGAAAAAGTGAGCATTAAACCAAACTCTAATGAAGGTGTTTTTCTCAGATCAAAATGCTTTAATAACTGAAAAAGAAAATACATACTGTATAAAGCAACGAGGTACTGCTATTAAAGTGAACAAATGATACACCCACCTCTTGTAAAGTCCATGATTTTCCAATGGAAACCCCAAAAAGAATTCATATCAAAAACAAAATAGGATGTGCACAGTAGCATTGCATGGTGAATATTCTGAGAAAGTTTAAATTCAGATGAAAGATTAATATACAAATGTGTACTGTAGTGTGCTAATATAACAGAGTCCATGTCATGCCGAAGTAAACCTTGGATGAAGAAATGATAGAGGAGTTGGAAAAGTTTGTCATGTGTGTAAGATTCTGTGAAAGATTTTAGGTGTTCAGCAGCAGAAACGAATACAAAAGTGAGACAGAAGGAGGAAAGGATGGACATTACATTGCCATCACCATATACCATCCAATTAAATTAACTGTTGACACAGAGATATGTCTCGCCTTTGTGAAACTTGAGAGTATAACATAATGTTGAAATTAATTAGCAATACTTTATCATGTAAATTATAAAAAACATTCAAGGTCAATGAACCATGATGAACGTGCAGGGCCAATATGGCAAAATGGCAATATTTATACAACTGCATACCAAAGATCATTCATTTATCATTAGTAGTTCCCTTTATAATAGTTTAACACAAACTGTAACTTGTAAACTATACATCTACTTCATTTGAACTTTAATGGATAGTTTTCTCATTGGAAATCTTACAACATCTCCTTATTTTTATAAAGTTTCAAATTCAATGAACCATGCATATGACTGAGGTGGCAAGACCATGTAATCTTCATGAACATGATATGTGCATATACTATTACAACTGCATGTCAAATTTCATTGACTTACCATTTGTGGATTATTTTACACTGAACTTATCACACACTTTAAGCAAAAGTATCAAAGTCTTCAGACCAAGACTGAGGGGGTGGGGGCTAAATAATCTCCATGGAAATGAGATATGTTAGTTCTTATACAAGTTGCAAACCAAATATCATTGAACTACCACAAGCAGCTCTTCGTAAACTGGCATAATCACAAACTAATACATAATTGAAGTTGCCACTGCCCGAAACAGAACATCTTAGTAAATTTTTCGACCTCATTGAGGCAAGACAAAAAATAGGGGGTATAACAAGAATATCATTGACAAATTTTTTGAATAGAAACTTCTAGGATTTCAAATAAATATATATTACAATGCCACTGTTCAAAACTGCTTTATATTATTTTTATGTTAAAAAAGCGTATTACCTTCCTCCTTTATTAATATTCATAATGACTGAACATAATCACTGTTAAAACTATGCATGAAATTTGCTAAAGATTCATATCATTTCATAACAGTTCCATTTTTAAAGGCTAAATATTGCCAATGCGCCTCCTTAAACCATTACAAAATTGTGTTAATTTCATTGCTGAATAAATACAATAATGCAGAAATTTTAGTGCAAAAAAGTCAATCATGGTGCTACTGTTATATTATAATTTTCATATTTGATAAAAAATGGTCATTTTATGAACAGTTTTTTATAAAATTAAATAAATGCAATAACCCTAAAAGCTATTACATTTGTACAACAATTATTAAAAGTTCTTATAGGGTTCTATGTCTTGCCTGCTATTGTTTGCTGTCAGAGAAAATTGTACTATTGACTGCTAAAAACAAAGTCTATTTATCAGTAAAATACAAAAAAAACTTTTTTTTCAGGCATTTTTTTTTTTAATTTAATAACCACATGTCCAAGTTTTATATCATGTTATTGATGTCTAAATATCTTAATCCCAGACTGTTTCTAAATGTTAAATGCAAAAACAATATCCACATAAAAGTAAAATACATAAATTGAAACAACTTTTTTTCCAACTTTAATAATGGCATTTTTTATTTATCATAAAAAAGCTTCTATCCAGGTTTATACAATAACAAGAAGGTTTGACAAGGATACTGATAGTCAATAAAATCTTTTATCACAGACTGAACCTAACTATTAAACCCTACATCAGCAAAGGAATGTAGGAATGCTATGTATTGTGTCTGCGACTATAAAATGTAGCAGACATGACAAAAAAGACAAGTTGCAGAATTATATCATGCTGGCTGTTGCTCATATCTAAATATTAAGGAGGAGATGTCAAACGAAGCAATTTTGGTAGTTTTACATTTGATCTTTTACTTATAATAAAATGTCATGCAAACTTGCTACTGCAATGAATTCTTAACCTCCTAATACAAAAAACATTGCTATCTGATCTTACACTTTTTTCAAAACAAATAAAAATAAAATGCTCCGCTGGGGCGCAGCTTGATACGACCGCAGAGGTCGAACCCTGAACAGTTGGGGCAAGTATGGACACAACATTCAAGCTTGATACAGCACTGAATTTGGATTGAAATTAAATATTTGACACAGCATAGGTTTCTGACACAGAATGAATGTGGTCTAAGAACTTAAAAAAATATAATTTACCTATTGAAACCATATCATTATTTGCTTTTATATATAAATCAGAAATAACCAATTTAAAATGGAAAATTTTAAAGAAAAAAAAAGGAAAAAAAAATCCCCCCCCCCAAATTTTTTGAACCTCCTTATGATTCATCACCCCCAAACTCAATCCCAGCCTTCCCTTTGTGGTATGGTACCTTGCAGTACAATTTCAGAGAGATCCATACACTTGAACACAAGTTATTGTCTGGAAACTAGAAAAATGTTTGTTTTTTGGCCCCTTTTTGGCCCCAAATTCCTACACGTTTAGGGAAATTACCCCCAAACTCAAACCCAACTTTCCCTTTGTGATATGGAACCTTGCAGTACAATTTCATTAAGATCCATACACTTACACACAAGTTATTGTCCTGAAACTAGAAAAATGTTATGTTTTTTTGCCCTTTTATGGCCCCTAATTCCTAAAATTTTGAGGGAATTACCCCCATAATCAATCCCAGCCTTCCCTTTGTGGTAAGGTACCTTGCATTACAATTTCAGAGAGATCCATACACCTGAACACAAGTTATTGTCTGGAAACTAGAAAAATGCTTATTTTTGGCCCCTTTTTGGCCCCTTATTCCTAAACGTTTTAGGCAATTACCCCCAAACTCAATTCCAGCTTTCCCTTTGTGATATGGAACCTTGTAGTACAATTTCATAAAGATCCATACACTTGAACATAAGTTATTGTCATGAAACTAGAAAAATGCTTGTTTTTTGCCCCTTTTTGGTCCCTAGTTCCTAAAATTTTGAGGCAATTACCCCCAAAATCAATCCCAGCATTTCCTTTGTGATATGGAACCTTGTGGTACAATGTCAGAGAGATCCATACACTTACACACAAGTTATTGTCATGACACTAGAAAAATGCTTGTTTTTTGCCCCTTTTTGGCCCCTAATTCCTAAAATTTGGAGGCAATTACCCCCAAAATCAATCCCAGCATTCCCTTTGTGATATGGAAACTTGTGGTACAATGTCAGAGAGATCCATACACTAACACACAAGTTATGTCTGGAAGTTACAAAAATGCTTATTTTTGGCCCCTTTTTGGCCCCTAATTCCTTAACTGTTGGTACCATAACCCCAAAAATCAATCCCCACCTTCCTTTTGTGGTATTGAACCTTATGGTAAAATTTCATAGAGATCCATTCACTTAAACTAAAGTTAGAGTGCGATAACCAATGTGTCTTCGGACGACGATGACGACGACGACGCCAACGTCATACCAATATACGACCTCAAAATTTTTTTGCGGTCGTATAAAAACATGTGATTCAATTTCAGTGTGCACAACATGTTTTCAACCTGTTTACAAAATTTAAATGTGTTTTTATAGGCTTTAAAGGCACCATCAAAAATGTTTACCATGCCACATTCTATATGTGAGGTATGTGTGCCTGTCAAGTGGTTATCTCTTTTTAGAAGCATATTATATATTTTTTTTTGGTTTGTTGTTTTGTATACTAATCAAGTCATTCGTTTTCTCATTTGAATTGTTTTACATTTTGTTATGTTTAAGCTTGCTATTCAGTATGGGTTTTGCTCATTGCTAAAGGCTCTAGGTGACTTGTAGTTTTTCACATCTACGCCATTTGGTCTCTGGTGGATATTTGTCTCATTGGTCATCATTCCACATCTTCTTATTTTCGATATAATCACAATTTATTTGATGACAGTAAACTACTCACATGTTCTTTAATCTTCAGAAACATCCTGCTTGTGACTACTATTACTGTGACCTGCCACTTTATTAACGGTTACTGTGACATGTCACTTTATCAACTATTACTGTGACATGTCACTTTATCTACTTACTGTGACATGTCACTTTATCAACTATTACTGTGACATGTCACTTTATCAACTATTACTGTGACATGTCACTTTATCAACTATTACTGTAATGTGTCTCTTTATCAACTATTACTGTGACATGTCACTATATCAACTTAATAACTTACCAGGGCACTAATTAAACCAAGTAAAACTCCTATGGCAGATGATGCAAAAAACATAACACAAAACCTGCCAACTGCTCCAAAAAATGCTGAAGCTCCACTGGTGATGACTACATCTGGTTTATTGTACTCCAAAATCGTCCTAAAATAAATGCATGTATTAGACACTCCCCATTTAGCCCAATTTACACTATATTATGGTTAAATAAAATGATAGCTTTCAATAATTCAGAAAGGGGTCTTTAAGTAATGTGACTTTTAATTTATGGTAAAGCATGATAAATGAATGACATCCAATCAAGGTTGGGCAGTAAATACCGCCCCTGGTATTTACCGGGGGTATTTACCGGTATTTACCGCCCTGGACAATACTCCTCAAGTGGTCAATACTGGCAAATACTGGTCGATTGAAATTTTCATGGTGGTTTTTACTATTTATTGAAGTAAAAAAAAGATAAAAAGTAAGATATATTTAAACTTTTATCTTTTAGCATGTTTCAGCTGATATAAATGAATGAATTTGATATGTTTTATTCATTTTCAACACTTATACCTACTAATTTAGTCCTTATAAGTTATGATCTTGCATATTTTAGATATATATAAAGAATTGACAAATTAATTATTACAACATTTTTCAATCAAGATATTTTTTATTGAAAATGCATAATTTTTACAGGTACATAAAACTACAGGTAAATGAAGTTACAGGTGTCTTATTAACTATCACCTGGCATTGCTAGGTGTGAAAATTTAATTACTATAAAAACAACAGCCCCCAATAAATGATGACAAAACATGGTTGAAAGTAATAAAATATTTGAAGACTCACTTAAACAATAAAATATTTCCTGTCTATTAAATGTGAGACAAAAATCATCTTTATGCAGGAAATGGAAGGTATGAAGGACCTTTACTCTTATGGCTGAACTGTAATTTATGTTTTAAACCAAAAATATATAATGTAGTATAAATTTTACCTTTACATAATCAATTTTTACATGATTTACATACACATAGTACAACCATCTTGACCTTAAGCACCAAACTGAAACCTGAAGACCTATTTGGAACTTCTATACAATATAAGACAACAACAAAACCAGTGCAAAATGTAATGATTGCAATGCTATAGTCAGTGCAAAAGCCACCTGATGAGTTTCCTTGCCAGGGACGAAACATTTTTATCTTATGTACTAATAAATCATTGTAAATCACTGTTTATTAAGAATTTACAATGAAATGTGAGAACATTTAGAATGACTTTAACACTTTCATTATTTCATTATTAAAAGTAATTGACCAGGTAGAGAGTGGTTTTTATAGTAATGTCCACTCAAAATTTCAATCGACCAGTATTTGCCAGTATTTGCCAGTATTTCCCGGTATTTACCGGTATTTACCACCGGCATGGTCAATACTAGTATTGACCGCTTTTTTGCCAACCTTGCATCCAATAACATTTAATGGCATGATGGTGTAAATACATATATACTTACTCTTATTTGTTTCTACTGTATATTAATAAGTGGGGATTTCAGATTCATGTCATTGAGACTGCAGTCCAATGACACAATAAAACAAACAAAAAGACATGCATTTGTCATTGCAATTGCTCAACATTGAACAAAATGTGAGATTAATTATTGCAATTTGAGGAAATGCTAAATACAAATAATTCTGTCAAAGTATAAAATGTGTATGTAATTTTTGGTAACCTGTCACAATTTTCAAAATAAAAAACATCATCAAAATTTCTGAATTTACAGTACTCATTATCACTGACAAAATGCAAGAAAATGGTAAAAGGTATTAGTTATTTGGCTTGCATCTATCTATACTTTAACTAACGTGGTCAACACAATGGCTACTGCATCGTTCAGGACACTCTCTCCAAATACCAACATGTATAATATCTGGTCCACATTTAAAGCTTTAAAAATGGCTAGAGTTGCAACAGGGTCTACAGCTGATATCAAAGACCCAAAGGCAAAACTTTCAACTATATCAAACTCGTACACAAGACCAGCCTACAAAGAAAACATTTCTTTTGTTCAAAATTATACATTTTCAAATCAGGTTTGATATAGTCAAATAATTCTTACACTATTTGCAAATCCACAAATACTTGAATTGATTGGTCCAGTGGAATTATTTCAATTTTCCTTGGATTACATTTTGATAGACCATGTTGCCAAAACTACTTTCATAACCTAAGTAAACACTATGTTGATTTCACTGTGATCTTTTCATGTGTGATATACATGAAAGAAATACTGGGGTTCCAAGGAAATTTAAAAAAAAATGTTTGGGTAGAGAATTATCAAGATTAAACACATTTTTTCTAAATGTTGTTGATGTGAAAACTGGGCTACTGACTCACAAACTTTACAAAGGAGAAGGTCCAGTAAAGGCCAATTTCGGCCTAAAATTCATAGTACATCTGATGAAAGATTTTTGACATTTTTTAAACACTCAAGTGTCTACTTCAGTTGATTCAATTAGTTTATGTAAAAGATTTGAACTGATTTTGTCATTAAAGATGCTCAAATTCAAGCTTAAATATGTAAAATCTATCAAATATGCCATAAAATGTCACTTTTCAGATGGTTTTTGTCTAAAATGGAAGTGGCCAAATACGTGTTCAGTCTCAACATTTATATATGTCATGTATTATCATTAAATACAACATATGTTTAAATATTAAGACTGAACACAAGAAAGGCCACTTCCATTATAGACAAAATGCTAAAATTGTGAAGATTTCAATATTTTTGCATGAAATAATGTCAAAAGCAGCCCATATTTACGTAACAAAAGTATTCTATTTTCCAATTAATAGCTAAAAGTTGACATTTTCAACAACTTCGTAAGAACGCTATAATTTGGGGCCAAAAAGGGGTCTTACCGGGCCTACTTCTTTATGAGTTAATTGCACCAATTTATAAAAAAATAATCTCTAGAAAAATGAGTTTAAACCTATAATAACAGATATCGCTACATTGACAACAACACTTAAGTAATCTGCATCTTTTATTGTCAACATGTTTCACCAATTAGATCAGCGTCATCAGAACCCGCCTATAATAACAGAGTAATAGTTTTTTTTTAAATATGTCAGGTCATTAATTATTTCGTATTTTTCAATGCTTGATAAACTTTTTGTAAATTTCCATGAGCATAAAACCTTCTAATTGTAAATGTTTTTTCAAGTTTACACCCAAAATAGGAAAAAACATAAGAGATTTTAGTAAAAGTTGACAAAATCTTATGGATTTCAATCACATTTAAGCCTAGGAAATAGATCGCAAAGTAAACATTCAAGTCAGATAGGTTACATTTGGTGTTACAAACATAATGTTAAAAGTTTTTTTTGTTGAGGCATGTTTCTCTCGACCTAAACATTATTTAAGCTTTCAAGATCCACAAGTCTTATGCGTTATGTTTTTGAATTAAAATGTGTTTGGCCTCAAAAGTAACAGAAGTTAATTAACAAAATATGAAATGTGTCCATTGTATATAGAATTAGTATAATATACTTAAAAATGTAAATTACCTTTCCAAGTAAGTATAATCCACCTCCAACAATCAATGCAGAGATAACAGTACCAAAAATAGCAAACAATAATATAGATCCTATATTCTGGAAAAAGTTACCCTGTAAAACAAATTATGAGTAAAGGGGAGACAATTAGAAAAATTGCAAAATATTTTAACTTCTTTCATGGATTTCATAATATGATTGAAATTTGTGTTACAATTATGTGTCCCTGTGGCTATAGCTATGGAACCAATAAATTAGTTCCAAAATATCCAATTAAAAACTATCCTTATTCTAAAAACAGTTCAATATAAATGCTTGCAGACTTTATAAAATGCTTTGCTGAGTGCAGCCTGATACAACCGCAGAGGTTGAACCCTGAACAGTTGGGGCAAGTTTGGACACAATATTCAAGCTTGATACTGTCAGAATTTGGATTGTGATCAAATTTTTGACATTATATAGGTTTCTGACACAAAATAAATGTGGTCAAAGATCTTAAAAATTTGAAATGGGATATTTAATTTACCTAGAATGGTCTGATATCCAAAATCTAACAACATGGTTAGATTTAGCATATAAAAAAACACCAATAATTTAATTTTAGTTGAAATCAAACAAAGTTTAATTTTGGACCCTTCAAACCTTTATTTGAAAACAGGGCCCAAAATAAAAATCTAAATGCACAATAAGATTCAGTAAATCATACAGCCACAATAATTCAGTTTTTGATGAAATCAAACAAAGTTTAATTTTGGACCCTTTTGACCTCAATGTAGACCAATTTAAAATGGGGCCCAATATCCAAAAAAAATATACTAGGTTAGAACCCCCAAAAATTAAAGACTTAATTAATCCCATCAAAATTGGTTAAAATATTTGTATTTGTTTTCAATTGAAGATTTCTTGCTATTGCGCAATACTGTGCAATTGAAGATTTCTTGCAATTGTGCAATACTGTGCAATTGAAAATTTCTTGCTATTGTGCAATACTGTGCAATTGAAGATTTTTTGCTATTGCGCAATACTGTGTAATTGAAGATTTCTTGCTACTGCGCAATACTGTGATATTGCACAATACTGTGCTATTGCTCAATACTGTGCAATTGAAGATTTCTTGCTATTGCGCAATACTGTGCTATTGTGCAATACTGTGCTATTGCACAATACTGTGCAATTGAAGATTTCTTGCTTTTGCCCAGTACTGTGCTATTGTACAATACTGTGCTATTGCGCAATACTGTGCAATTGAAGATTTCTTGCTATTGCGCAATACTGTGCTATTGTGCAATACTGTGCTATTGCACAATACTAGTTGTGCAATTGAAGATTTCTTGCTTTTGCGCAATACTGTGTAATTGAAGATTTCTTGCTACTGCGCAATACTGTGATATTGCACAATACTGTGCTATTGCTCAATACTGTGCAATTGAAGATTTCTTGCTATTGCGCAATACTGTGCTATTGTGCAATACTGTGCTATTGCACAATACTGTGCAATTGAAGATTTCTTGCTTTTGCCCAGTACTGTGCTATTGTACAATACTGTGCTATTGCGCAATACTGTGCAATTGAAGATTTCTTGCTATTGCGCAATACTGTGCTATTGTGCAATACTGTGCTATTGCACAATACTGTGCAATTGAAGATTTCTTGCTTTTGCCCAGTAATGAGCTATTGTACAATACTGTACTATTGCGCAATACTGTGCAATTGAAGATTTCTTGCTATTGCGCAATATTGTACAATTGAAGATTTCAAACCCCACAAAAAATTGGAAAAAAAAAATCCCCCCAACATTTTGACCCCCCCCCCCCCCCCCCCCCTTTTTGAGTAATTACCCCCAAACTCAATCCCAGCCTTCTCTTTATGGTATTGAACCTTGTAGTACAATTTTAGAGAGATCCATACACTTAAACACAAGTTATTGTCAGGAAACTAGAAAAATGCTTGTTTATGGCCCCTCTTTTTGCCCCTAATTCCTGAACGTTTGGGCCAATTAACCCCAAACTCAATTCCAGCCTTCCCTTTGTGATATGAAACCTTGTGGTACAATTTTAGAGAGATCCATACACTTACACACAAATTATTGTCCAGAAACTACAAAAATGCTTGTTTTTGGCCCCTAATTCCTAAACTGTTGGTACCATCACCCCCAAAATCAACCCCAACCTTTTTTTTTGTGGTATTGAACCTTCTGGTAAAAATTCATAGAGATCCATTCACTTAAACTAAAGTTATTGTCCGGAAACCAAACGTGTCTTCAGACAACGATGACGACGACGACATTTAGCATTATACGACACAAAAAATTTTTGCGGTTGTATAAAAATTACAAATGTTTGATAAGCTGTTTGGAAATATTGCAAAATTGTCATGAAATATTTTGCTTTTTCCTCTTTTAAGCGGCATTTGCTACGATTTAAACAGTATAAGTATTTTTTGTTTGAAACATTTTCAAGTATGAAATATTGAAAAATAATTCCCTATAAGCAGTCATGTTGGTTAAATTTTGTCAATATTACACCAATCTTTTCTGATACATTTACAAAACAATACTTAGACCTTACTGGATCCATATGTATGAGACCTGTGATATTACCATGATTACCTCAGTTCACAGAGTTTGATTGTGCATGTGCTCAGCATATGTTCTGTTATTGAAAAGAATGTAAACAAAAAAGTGCAACTAGAAAGTGATTTCAAGATTAGAATACTGTAAATCAACTAATTTTTATGGATACTTTATTTCAAGTTAAGTCCTTTCCAGTCAACTTGGCAGGTTCATTTTTGTCATTTTCTAATATTCTTGGTGTATCAATGTAAGGGAAGTCCCAATTTTGACATATTGACATTATTTTCCTAGTCACAAAAGTCAAGAAAATAAATCACTTGCGAAATTAGTTGGTTTTCTGTATATCAGAGTATGTTTCATCAGTTACCTTATGTAAATTATAACCAGACTCAAATATGATTGGTGGAAGTAAAACAATGAAGAATACTGTAGGAGGAAATGCTTCTTCATTCTGAAATAAATACAAAACTTAAGTAAATGTTAACTTTTTTTTATACATCAATTTATACTAATACTATTATCGTGGAAATGCATACTCATCATGATCTGATACTACTAAGCTGAACAGATTCTGGTACATTTTAATCAAAAGAACATTATAAGATAGGCCAACTTAAAGGTCCTTTGATTTTAAATATCATTTTTATAATCCTTACATATCCTTTTTTTGTTTCAGTTTTTAGTGTTTATAAGGCAATTTAGTCTTCAATATACTTAAATGAGCAACGCAATGGATGCCACATGTGTAAACAGGATCTGCTTTATCCTTCCAGAGCACCTGAGATCACCCCTGGTTTTTGGTGGGGTTCGTGTTGCTCAGTCTTTAGTTTTCTATGTGGTTTTTTGTTAACTGTTGTTTGTCTTTTGGTCTTTTACTTTTTTTGCCATGGTATCGCCAGTTTTTTTTACTTATAAGTTTGAATGTCCCTATGGTATCTTTCTCCTCTCTTTTTCAGATACTTGTCCCTTTGGCATGGATGTTTTTGGAATTAATTTGATCAGGTGCACTAAAGACCAAAAGTTTGCATAAAAAACCAGTAAAATAAAATAGAATTGACATGATTTCAATTTGTCAACATGAACTAAGATTGTCACCTTAAATCAGGAGAATTCATCATTCATTTTGTCCTTTAGAAAGTATAATTTTTTTTAGCTCAAAATAGAATTTAACTAGATATCATTGAGATGGGAGCCATCTCTGTGGGCCCCGCTGTGAATAATGTGTGGTAAAAAATTTGTATCTTTATCATTGGACATGGGGTTGTCAACTGAAACCAAAGTTTAAGACCTTGTCCTTTGACCTAGGAAGTTGTACATACATTATGACACACCCTCTGGTGTTGGTTTATATACATGTCAAGTTTAAACTTTGAAATCATAACGGTTCTCAAGATATAGAGCGGACACGATCTTTACCATAGGTCATTGGGTTGTCAACTAAAACCAAAGTTTTTGACCTTGACCTTTGACCTAGGAAGTTGTACATTCATTATGGCACACCCTCTGGTGTTGGTTTATATACATGTCAAGTATTAATTATGAAATCATAACGGTTCTCAAGATATAGAGCGGACACGATCTTTACCATAGGACATGGGGTTGTCAACTAAAACCAAAGTTTTTGACCTTGACCTTTGACCAAGGAAGTTGTACATACATTATGACACACCCTCTGGTGTTGGTTAATATACATGTCAAGTATAAACTTTGAAATCATAACGGTTCTCTAGATATAGAGCGGACACAATTTGTTACGGAAGGACGGACAGACGGACGGACGGACGTACAGATGGACAGACTGATCACTATAGGGCGTCCGCCATTCTGTTGGTTAAAAACTTTTGGCAGTGTTTTCCCTAGAGGGTTTGTACACAATCAGACCCACATGCATATATTTGAAATTCCTTTTCAGCTCACCTGGCCCATAGGGTCAAGTGAGCTTTTCTCATCACTTGGCGTCAGTCGCCCTTTGTCATCCGTCGTCGTTAACTTTTACAAAAATCTTCTCCTCTGAAACTACTGGATCAAATATAACCAAACTTGGCTACAATCATCACTGGGGTACCTAGTTTAAAAAATGTACCCGATTACCCCGCCTGCAAACCAAAATTATCATAGATAGATAGAAACTTAAATAAGTAAAAATGATCAGCAAGACAAGATCTCGTTCAAAGACTTCTTATTGGCTGACCTTTTTTGACAATTTTTCCCTATTTTTTTTCATTTTGCCTTATATGATAAAAATTATAACAGATACATAGACACTTTAAATCACAAAAAATGATCAGCAAGGCAAGATCTACTATCAAGTCATATTTTGCCGATATAGTTAGTAGACTGTCACTTTTTATAGGAGCGATTCCCCGTAAATGAGGATTTTTTTTATCGTCTTTTGTGTTTTGAGCAAAAACTAAAGAAGATAGAGAGAGACTAAACAGACTAAATGATCAGCAATACAAGATCAACAAAACAGAGATATTTGTTATGAATTCTATTCTCGTCTACAATGTTGGAGAGTGTCCTTTGTTGAATATGCACATAGACCAAGGTGAGCAACACAGGCTCTTTTAAGAGCCTCTAGTTATTTATATAAGCCCTCATCCTTCAAAACTCATGACCACCATCCTTTCAGAAAAATTTCTAGGACTATGCTGGTATTCCTATTCATGCATTAATCACTGTAGCATGAACACTTAACTTTGATACTATGAAGTCATACATGATGTCAATGATAACTAAAACATGCCAGACAAACATTTCAGACCATAATGCATTTTAATCAAAGACCAGATTCTTGTCTTTGACCTCCTGAAATGTAGTCTGCTACAAAACAAAGAACTTTACCAAGGAGGCTATCAAAATTAAAAGTTGAAGAAGAACAAACAACTCCATGGCCAAAAGAAAATAAAAAGAACAGACAACTCTTTAGCCAAAAGAAAATAAAGAAAGTAAGACTACACAAACAAATTGACAAAACACTACACAGGAAACTAAATATTTAAAAAAAGGGGGGGGGGGGGTTAAAATCAGGTGCTTGAGAAGGATCAGCAAATCCCTGTTCTACTAAGAGGCACCCTTTGTTTTGCTTATAATATATGCAACATCTTTGAAAAATAAAATTAACACTCTATCACAGCCAGAACAACATATTTATGTCCCATTTTAGCAACATTTGTAGCAAGAGAGAGAGAGAGAAAACTAACCTGCCAATTTCCAATCTTCAATATTTTTATACCAACACCAATTAATGCACCTGAAAATAAACAAAATCTGTTTATCATTTAAAAGTATAAACACATTTCAAAGTAAAACAGCAGTAAAAGTACTACTAAATATTATTTCATATATCGGAAAAAGTCACAAGGGACTTATGTCAAATTCTATTTATCCAAAATATATCATACAATTCTTTTCAGCCTCTTTTATATACATACACCATCTACTTGCCACTATACATCATGTACTGTGTTACAACCCTAGATAAAGTGGACAAGGAAAAGCTATATTTTTATGTAGCCTAGGTGGTCGAGTGGTCTAGGGCGCTGGACACGGTGCAGGCAGTGTTGCCACGATGTCACAGAAGCAAGGGTTCGAATCCTGCAGAGGGAAGATATATATATCTATATGAATATATTTACGACTTTTAAAAAAACAAAATGTTTCTTTCTGTGCTTTTAGTTCATGCTAAACTTGTGTTAAATAATCATAACATATGTATTTCATCTAATTTATACAGATACACTAATAAAGTATCTCTATTATGAATAAATTTTGATGAGTGGGGTATGCTAGCAACGCAACAGTACAATAGGTACAAAATACATCACTGAGGAAACGGTAAATCAAAAAATTATTAATTGAAAACCACCTGCACAGACAGAATAAAATGCTCTGCTGGGCGCAGCTTGATACGACCGCAGAGGTCGAACCCTGAACAGTTGGGGCAAGAATGGACACAACATTCAAGCTTGATACAGCTCTGAATTTGGAATTGTGATTAAATATTTGACACAGCATAGGTTTCTGACACAGAATGAATGTGGTCTAAGAACTTAAAACTTTTTTTAATTTACCTATTTAAACTATATCATTATTATTTGCTTTTATATATAAATCAGAAATAACCAACTTAAAATGGAAAATTTAAAAAAAAAAAAAAAGGAAAAAAAGGAAAACAAGAGTGCACACGCTGAAATGTCTCGCCTTCTTTACTAATCATTGATATTATGTTGATAGTCCTAAATATAAAGCTTTATTACAACTGTCACATAAACTTAACATTAACCAAGTAAACTAAACATTGACCAATGAACCATGAAAATGAGGTCAAGGTCAGATGAACCATGCTAGGCAGGCATGTACAGCTAACAATTGTTCCATACAACAAATATAGTTGACCTATTGCTTATAGGTTAAGAAAAACAGACCAAAACACAAAAACTTAACACTGAGCAATGAACCTTGAAAATGAGGTCAAGGTCAAATAAAACCTGCGTGACTGCCAAATAGATCATAAAATATTTCCATACACCAAATATAGTTGAACTATTGCATATAGTATTAGAAAAAAAGACCAAAACTCAAAAAACTTAACTTTGACCACTGAACCATGAAAATGAGGTCATGGTCAGATGACACCTGCCCGCTAGAATGTACACCTTACAATCATTCCATACACCAAATATAGTAGACCTATGGCATACAGTATAAGAAAAACAGACCAAAACACAAAAACTTAACTATAACTGTCTGACGGGCATGAGGACCTTGCAAGGTACGCACATACCAAATATAGTTGAACTATTGCATATAGTATTAGAAAAAAAGACCAAAACTCAAAAACGTAACTTTGACCACTGAACCATGAAAATGAGGTCAAGGTCAGATGACACCTGCCCGCTAGACATGTACACCTTACAATCATTCCATACACCAAATAAAGTAGACCTATGGCATACAGTATAAGAAAAACAGACCAAAACACAAAAACTTAACTATAACCACTGAACCATGAAAATGAGGTCAAGGTCAGATGACACCTGCCAGTTGGACATGTACACCTTACAGTCCTTCCATACACCGAATATACAAGACCTATTGCTTATAGTATCTGAGATATGGACTTGACCACCAAAACTTAACCTTGTTCACTGATCCATGAAATGAGGTTGAGGTCAAGTGAAAACTGTCTGACGGGCATGAGGACCTTGCAAGGTACGCACATACCAAATATAGTTATCCTATTACTTATAATAAGAGAGAATCTAACATTACAAAAAATCTGAACTTTTTTTTCAAGTAGTCACTGAACCATGAAAATGAGGTCAAGGACATTGGACATGTGACTGACGGAAACTTCGTAACATGAGGCATCCATATACAAAGTATGAAGCATCCAGACCTTCCATCTTCTAAAATATAAAGCTTTTAAGAAGTTAGCTAACGCTGCCGCCGCCGCCGACGCCGCCGCCGCCGGATCACTATCCCTATGTCGAGCTTTCTGCGACAAAAGTCGCAGGCTCGACAAAAAAAATCCTCCCCCCAATTTTTTGAACCCCCTTATGATTCATCACCCCCAAACTCAATCCCAGCCTTCCCTTTGTGGTATGGTACCTTGCAGTACAATTTCAGAGAGATCCATACACTTGAACACAAGCTATTGTCTGGAAACTAGAAAAATGCTTGTTTTTTGGCCCCAAATTCCTAAACGTTTAGGGCAATTACCCCCAAACTTTAACCCAGCTTTCCCTTCGAGATATGGAACCTTGTAGTACAATTTCATAAAGATCCATACACTTGAACACAAGTTATTGTCCTGAAACTAGAAAAATGCTTGTTTTTTGCCCCTTTTTTGCCCAGAATTCCTAAAATTTTGAGGCAATTACCCCCAAAATCAATCCCAGCCTTCCCTTTGTGGTATGGTACCTTGCAGTACAATTTCAGAGAGATCCATACACTTGAACACAAGTTATTGTCTGGAAACTAGAATAATGCTTGTTTTTTGCCCCTTTTTTGGCCCCTAATACCTAAAATTTTGTGGCAATTACCCCCAAAATCAATCCCATCATTCCCTTTGTGATATGGAACCTTGTGGTACAATGTCAGAGAGATCCATACACTTACACACAAGTTATTGTCTGGATGTTACAAAAATGCTTATTTTTGGCCCATTTTTGGCCCCTTATTCCTTAACAGTTGGTACCATAACCCCCAAAATCAATCCCAATCTTCCTTTTGTGGTATTGAACCTTATGGTAAAATTTCATAGAGATCCATTCACTTAAACTAAAGTTATTGTGCGATAACCAATGTGTCTTCGGACGACGACGACGACGATGATGAAGCCAACGTCATACCAATATACGATAAAAATTGTGGTTAAAAATTTGTTCATGCTATTCAATTGTTTTAGATCAGTTTTTTATTGTCTCCTCAACTAAGTTTTCTTTGTCAAGCATTTTGGCATTATGGTATGAACAAAAGGAGATGTTGGATAAACATCAGTGAGACATCAACCAAACAACACAAATAAGCACAAGACATCTAGATGTTGCAATGAATGAGAGAACTTGAAGAAGAATCTCATCAGTTAACTAATTACTGATCATTACTCCCACATACCGGTACAACATCTGTAGTGCATATGGTTCTTTTTATTAGATAATTAACCAGTAATATTGAAGTCATTGCTTGTATCTATTTTGACCTTACTGTGAGGTGTAAATTATTTTGTAAACATTTATCAATATGTAGAACAGCAATAAAAGTTCTGTTCCTTTGAAAAATTGGTCTTTTCGTCGTATGTCATGAGAAGTTGTAACCCATATTCTTTCTTTCTAATTAAAATATCCTGCTTGTTTAAATATAGTGGTGTTTGAATCTTCTAAGAATTGTATAAAGTATTTTGTCAGTGTTTTCTCTTCATCAACAACAATATATAAAAACTTAACTTACACAACATACAGGATAAAAATAAGGAGATGGTTTTATTAGAATGCTTTTATGTTTTAAAATAAAATGTTCAGTCTAGAATATTTTTATGCAATGAAATTCAATACTGATGAGTAATATGAAATCATTTTTGAACCACATTGTTATGTTGTACTAGAAATGATTGATGCTCAGTTTAATTTTAAGAATAGAGAATAAAAGGCAAAAAAAATAAAGAATAGAGAAAAATGGAAAAAAAAATAAAAAAGAAGAATGTGTTCATGGGACACAGATGCCCTCGCTTGTAAATATGCAAAAGTCAATGTACAGCAAATTTTGCAATATTCTTTTTATGAAGGGGCATATAACACAAGAGCAGTGAAAGTGACTTGATCTGCATTTGGTGGTAAAAAGCATTGTGTATAAGTTTCATAACATTTGGTTGATGCAAACTAAAGTTAGGGAGGGGAAACCAATTTTGGGGTGTACGGACAAACCTAGACAGACAAGGGTAAACATATTGCCCCCTATGCCAAGCGGAGTGGCAAAAATAAAGGAAAGAGAAAAATGCACAAAAAAAAATAAAGATTATAGAAAATAATGGGGTGCTTTCATAAAAGAGAATAATTGGAAAAAATAAGAGAAAAGAGTAATATGGCCTTAAAAATTAAAGAACACATCAATGAAGAAACCCCCTATCCAGACCTTCAATAAGGATGTTTGCTTCCTCACATTTTCATCTTTTCTTTATAATTACATCTTATATCATATAATAATAGACCTCCAATAAGGATGTTTGTTTCCCCCATTTTCATATTTTCTTCATCCTTAATTACTTTTTATATAACCGGTAAGTATTCTAGATTTTGATAGGTTGATGTGTTATTTGTGTGAAATTTTCCTGTTTTTTTCTTTTATTAGATGTAATTTAACAGATATATCATGTTCAGAAGGGATAATTAGTGAAAAAAGCAAGTTATAATAGAGGAGAAATTTCTTTTGCCTAGCAGCTCAGGAAAATTTACTTTCTCTAGACTGGTATTTTTCATAAATACTTCTCATTAAGGATATTCACTTATCTGTTTCAAAAGAACAAGCTTTTTAAAAGACTATTATAAATCGATAGTATATTATAAAGAACTGACCTTAAAAAGCAGAAAATAATGACAGGTCTGTGTTCTTGTTTTTGAAATATAATCATTTGAAAATTTGGCAGGAAATTTCTCTCTCTAGATTTTTCGTACCTTTGACATTGGCGCTATTTTTCTTTCAAAATATGAAAAAATAACAAGGATTTTATAAGATTTTTAAAAGTGGCTTTTT